CGGCTTATCTTCTTTATTACCTATATAAATAAAATAACCTTCCGGAAATAGCTTTAATAATTATAAAATCCTCTAATTATTACGCTTCTAGAATATTATTTTAAATATTTCCAACTTCCTAGAAAAGGCGTCTACTACTATTTTTAAATATTTATATTAATTAAATATAATTATTCTATTTATAATAAGGAAATATTAGCGATTATTTAGTATTTAGAGGAATAGTTAATAGAATTTAAAAATTATAAAAAATTTATTATTATAACCGACTATTAGAACTTTAAATACTTTATAGAGAGATAGAAATTCTTTAAATATTAAGTATATTAAATTAAACTTCTTTCGAAGTTTAATTTCGAAATTTAGTACCGTCTAAGTAAATTTATTATAATATATAATATTCTATTATAGCGGGATTAAAATAAACCTAATAAGGAGGATATAGAAATAAGGGAGATATAATTAATCCTTTAAAAGGTTTTTAAGAATTATATTCGTATAGTAGCCTCCTCTATAATTATAAAGGAGGGCGTAAGGGTATTTAAAAATCCGGATTTATAATAATTTTATGAAAAGGTAGCTTAGTAGGATATAATTTACTAAAACGTTCTTTAAGTAATTATTAATAGTAATTAAAGTTTGTCCGCTGTAATTTAAGGTTTAAAAATATAATTAGGAAAATATTGAATTAATAATTTAGGGAAGTTATATTATTAAAGCTATATTTAAATCCCCGGAGCCCTAATTATTATAGAAGTAACTACCTTCTATATATTTCCCGAAGATTTAAAGAAGAATATTCTATATATACACCTTATTTAAAGAATATACAACTTAATTACTCTTAGTTATATAGGGAGAGAAAGTATAATATATACTATTAATAGAAATTTCTACTAACCGTTAATAAATATTTATATTCATTAGTTTATAATTAACTATAACACTTATAGGAGGGTAAAATATTAGAAAGAATAAAAGAAAGGGTTATTTAGATTACTACCGATCCTAAATTAATTCTTTAGAAATATTTAAATAGATTTTATTATTAATTTCCTACCTTTAGGAAGCTACATAAACCTCTTAATTATTAAAAACCGGTTTAGTAAAATAGTAATTTTAAAACCTATACCTACTATAGAAGTAAGAATAGTTATTAAAGCTTTTCTATAATATTTTATATACTACTATAATTAGCCCCGGTTTATTATTAATAATAGAAGTTTTAATTAGATTAATAATTTCTAAAAATATTTCTATAACCTCCTTAGAGTAGAATAGTAATTAAATATAGTATTTTACCCCCAAACTAATAGCGGGCCAAAACATATAAATTAAAAGGTGTAAATATTTTTAAGAATCTTTATAAACTATATATAGAATAATTAGGATTATTAATACTCTACTATATAATTAATAATTAATAGTAGAATAAGTATTATAATCGGAATATTTCTATTCATTATTATTTACAATTATTATTTATAATCCCCTATAGTAATTATTATCCAACCCGTAGAAACTGAATTTATAAACCTATAAAAGAGAATTAAAGGTTTCGTTATATAGCTATAGTAAATTATAAATTTTTATTAAACAACAATAATTATTTTAGTATAGGATTAAGAACGTTTTATAAATTATAAGAAATAATTAGCCCAAGTCTTTAAGGAGGGGGATAAAGTTTAATTAAACTTTAAAAACTTTAGAATTAAATACCCTAAAAAGAAGTTAGATTAAATATATATTAAATATATAATTTCAAGAATTCTTAATTTATATATTATAGAATTTACTAATATTACTATTAAAGTCTTTAATAAATTTTATATAGATTTCCTATAACGTATTCGGAACAATCCTTTACTAAAGTAGGTTATTATTAACCTTTAACCTCCAATTATTATAATTAATAATAAAAAAGAATATTTTATAAATAAAATTTTATACTATTAAATAAAGAAGGGATATAGAGAAGTATTAATAAAGTAGGTAGGATAGGTAGAATAAATTTAGGAACCTTTATAAATAGTAGTTAATACTATAGTATTAAACTATTTTAAAACTAAATATAGCCTAACTATTATTAATAATAATCTAATTAAATATTTTATTATTAAATATAAGAAATAATAACGTTGGTTATAAAAAAGAAGAAAAAGAGTAATATTAATTTTAAATTTTTCTATTTCTTCTAAATTTTTCTCTTACAATTATCTCCTATTTCTATAATATCCATCCTTACTTCTAAAATTACTACCCTATCTTAAATTATACGTAATTTATAGGGTAAGGGTACTATTAATAGAAGGGAAGGGGGGAAGGGGGAAACCGCTTTAATATAGTATAAATATTTGTAGTTAAAAAGAAAAAAAAAGAGAAAGGTTAGTACTAAAGTTTTTGAATAGGAGGGAAAATAGAAAGAAAGAAGTAGAAGTAATATATTAATTAATAAATCCTTTCTTATATAGTTCGGTAATATTCCTTTAAATATTTATATATTAATTTAAATTCTTTTTTATTATTACTTTAACCGTAGCGCTAGATACCGCCTCCTAAATAGTAATTATATATAAGGTTATCAATAATACCCGGTCGTACTACTTACTATTATAATAATAATTAGCGTATATAATATAATTAAGTATTATAAAATAGGTTTCCTTTATATTTAAATATATAATATAGGGTATAGTAGATTCTTTATAATTAAACTATAGTAAAAAGGTTAGCAACGATACAACGTCGGAGGAGAGACCTTAAGAGAGTAAGATATAAAAAAAAAAAAAAATTTACTTCGCGCTAGTACTTCTTTATAAAATACGAATTTAAAAGGGTTATAATAATAGTAATAATTATATAGCGGGATTAAGGGTAATAATTAAGGGAGGGGGGTATATTAGAATTTAAGGAAGGGGCATTAGGAAGGTTAGCGTTAATAGAGAGGAATTATAGAAGGGGGGGCTAGGGGGTAAAGTATTAAAATAAGTAAAAGGGGAGCTAAAGGGCGAAGTACTAAAGCGGGCGGAGGTAAAGGCTAATAAATTATTTTTAATAGAATAAAAAGTTTAGGGGCTAGAATCCGGGAGCGAGGCTAAATTAACGGAAAAGGATAGTATATAGTAAGGTATTTAAAAATATTAAGGAGGTCGGAAGAAACGGATTAGTATTAAACGGAAAGGAAAATAATATTATTTACTTTAAAGGATTAAATTACTATTAAAAAAAAAAGAGAAAAGGGAGAAGTTTAAAAAGCGAAGGGAAAAGGAATTATATATATAAATTTAAAGAGTATAAACGCTAAAACTATTACCTACTACCTATTACTATTTATTATTAATTACTATTTAGTATAGTAATTACTATATTAAATAGAAGGTATAAATACGTCGGTTAACGGTATAGGAAATAAATTTATAATTAAGATAGAAATTGCGAATATATTAGAAACTAATTATAAGGGTAGGTAGGAGAGGGGTAAGGAGGGGGGGAAGGAGGAGGGTAATATTATAGGGCTAGTGCCCGGGTTATAAACTCTAATCTTTAGGACTAGAACTATCGTTAATTACAATAGCGTAGAGCGCGCAGCCCCGATAAAAACCTCTTAGCGCCGGTAGATCCGTATTTTAGATAAACTTTTCCTCTTTTATAGAATTTTAATTAAGCTATACGACCAGCACCCGTATTAACCGTGCTGTCCCCGTTACAGAAAGAATCTAGAGTTGGCTATATAGCGGTATTATAAGGTAAATAGAAGACTAAAGATAAATATAAATAAGGGTATATAATACGCCGAATTAATGGTATAAGTTAGGTTATTTAGGATAAAGCAGGTATATAAATTAGGAAGCGGGTTATTTTGAGCGAGATACGAAATTTTCGGTATAAAGAAGTTGGTTAATAGGCGTCGAAGCTAGACGATAGTAAGGCGGTTACGGTATACGTTTTATCGTTGTCGGTATTAATAGAAGTTTTTCTGGATGTTGAGGCTTTTTATGTGTTGAAGTCGCTTGGTCTTAGTCTGAGTCGAGTGAAGCTGAAAAGTGGCAGGTCAATGGTGACGGCCGAGTATTCGCACTCAAGACATCAGATATCAGGACCACATATAGAGCGCCATCGTGGACCACAAAGCAAACCAAGGTACGGAATACCGAGTAGCTATCCCTTGACCACGGTGTTGATCACTTGCTCCTGAGGTGTGATGTGACAATGACCTTTACCCGTCCCGGAGGAGGATGATTGATATTGGAAGACCCCGACTGACCCGAGCATGCACGATAACTGCGTCCCCTTTATGCTTGTCAGTGCGGGACAACCATGGCGCGATTGCGGAATCAAGGACACGTGTAGGTAATAAAGGGGGCAAAATGCCAACTAGAGTGCAGGACACGATATATTTTTTTCAAAGAGACGGTAATATAATACTCCGGTGTTGTTTAAATAGACGTCCAGCGTTGTCAGACTTTGAAGGCTGTGATGACTGATGAGTGGAAGAACCGCGCTAACAGGTTAGGGTTAACAGGGCAACCCCTTCTTCCCCTCAGAAGCCCCGAAATCCTAGTCTGTCGCTCCCCCGCTCCCCGAAATTGCGCGGCCCGGTAGCGGACCCGGGCTTTCTGGGGACATTCAACGTCATCGCCTCAAGTTTTACAATCGGCGACGACTTCGAATTCCGATATCTGTAAGTGCGCTGCAAATCCCACATTGGCCCGGAAGTGTCTTCGCACCACCCCTCTCTTTTCTAACCCCCGCTGAACCGTCTGCTTCGGACCTATCCCGGCTCATTGAGACCTTCAGCGGGTATTGTCGGAGCTGCACCGGCGTGTCTTCCGCTCATCTGATCCCGCAACCTATCGATGAGTGGCGTCTCATAAGTGTGACTAAGAACCTAGACTGCCTCTATCAAGATAGCTTTTGCAGCCATCGAATTAAAACATATCCCCCCAAAACAAACAAGCACTCACCAATTGCAGACCCAGGACTCGACGCAACCAAAACAAGGAAAACTTAAAATTAAAAAAATCGCCCATCATGATTGACATGGCTCTCGACCACGGCTCCCTCGAGCACATCCTCCCCGTTTCGTGGAAGTCCCAAATAACAGCCTGGCTCGCTGAGGACACTCCTTCGTTCGACGTCGGCGGTTTCGTTGTCGGCGACGCGCCGCGCACTGCCACTCTCTGGGGGAAGTCGCAGGGAATCTTGGCCGGCGTGCCCTTTTTCAATGAGGTGTTCAAGCAGTGCGGCTGCACCGTCGAGTGGCACGCGACCGAGGGCTGCCACGTCGAGACCCACGGCGGAAAGAGGGCGCTGGCAACGGTGACCGGTCCCGCGCGCGGCCTGCTCGAGGGCGAGCGTGTGGCCCTCAACATCCTGGCCCGCTGCTCCGGCGTGGCTACGCAGAGCCGGCACCTGCTGGTGAACCTGCGGAGTGCCGGGTACAAGGGGATCGTGGCGGGTACTAGGAAGACCACGCCCGGATTCCGTCTTGTCGAGAAGTACGGCATGCTCGTCGGAGGAGCCGACACCCACCGCATGGATCTCAGCACCATGACCATGCTCAAGGACAACCACGTGTGGAGCCGCGGCAGCATTACTGACGCTGTCAAGGCGGCTAAGGCGGCTGGTGGCTTCAGCCTCAAGATCGAGGTTGAGGTGCAGAGTGAGGAGGAAGCTGATGAGGCGATTGCTGCCGGTGCTGACATTATTATGCTGGACAACTTCACTGGTGAGGGCGTCAGGGTCGCTGCTCGCAACCTGAAGGAAAGGTGGGCTGGCAAGAAGCAGTTCTTGCTTGAGGTTTCCGGTGGTTTGACTGCCGACAATGCCGAGTCCTACATTTGCCACGGTAAGTGTGCCGGATCAATCATCTCCAGTAGAAATGTCGCTGACAGGCACATTAGATATCGATATCCTTTCGACAAGCTCCATTCACCAAGGCGTGCCGCACGTCGACTTTTCGCTCAAGATCAATGTCGACAAGGGCACCGGCCCTGAGATTTCGAGCTAATGGATTCATATAATGAGTTTTTGAGTGCACGACACATTGGTATGATACTTTAAAATTCAAGCATGCAGTATTACCCGACTTTGATGAGCTGGCTGTGATAGGCTAGTTCGACCACTGTGAGTGATACGCACAACAGGAGATGAGCGCCACCAAAATGGTACCAAAGTGTTATGGACTGACGTATCCGTAATCAATGCCAAACCTGGTGCATCATGTTCTCCAAATTCCAGCACATAGATGGTTATTTTGGTTCCAATCCAGCCATCCAATATTGTGCCACGCCGAATAGTCTTCGAGTCTTGCTTTTGACACTCCCAGCGAGATGGCCGCAAAATGCAATACCATTATTCACTGCGAAGTGGTTTCAGTGATAACTATTCCCACCCAAAATGATTTCACCGCACCTTTTCCCTAACGCCGACATGCAATATAGTCTAGTAATTCCAACAATCCCCATCCGACAATATGTTTACCCCGTCGCCTCCTCCAAAAGCTGCGACACCGTCACAGCTTTATACCCCCTCCTCTGCATCTCCGGCAACACCTTCCTCAACATGGGCGGCGTCCAACTCCTCCGATCATGACAGATAATAATTCCCCCGGGGCTCAGCATACTGAGGATATGCCTCGCATTCAACCAGGCATACCCAATCTGGGCATCATGTGGATATATGCTCCCCAAAACCAATCGATACCCCAGTTTCCTCACCAGACTCAACATCCTCTCGCTAAAGAACCCTGATCCAGGCCGGTAATATTTGCCCTCGATGACTTGCTCTTCGACGGTCCCGCCTTCTCTTGTTCTTGTATCCCTTGTTTCTGTTGTCGTCGTATCTGTCCCACCTGTTGTTCTCCCTTCTGCACCATGGCCAGCACTGCCACCAGGCCACACCCTCCCCTCAGCCTCGTAAGCCTCTCGAATCAACCCCTCCACCTCCTTCATCTGCCTCTCCAGCTCCTCATCCGCCAGCTCCCTCGCCATCTCATCATGCATCCCGTGATTCCCCAATTCATGCCCTTGCCTCACAATCTCCCTCAAGATCTCCTCCCTCCCCCGCACCTGGCCTCCAATGACAAAAAACGTCGCATGCACCCCGCCCGCTTTCAATGCCGCGAGGATCTCTCTCGTGTGATCGGACGGCGCATCGTCAATGGTCAGGGCCACGATCTTGCGGTGCGGCGGCAACCAAAGGCGCCAGAGGACGTCGGTCCACCGTTGCGAAAAGTACCGGATCAAAGACGAGGGCGGTTTGTAGATGGTATAGAAGGGGAGCAGGAGGATGGAGGGGAGGATGAGCAGAAGGAGGATTAGGGTGGCCATGCGGGCGCGGCGGGTGCGGCGGCGGAGGACAGCGGAGGGAAGGGCGGCGAAGAGGGAGAGGCGTGGGAGGAGGCGTGGCATATCGCGGGGTGTCGCGAAGAAGGATGCAAGGTTGAAGTCGAGAGTTGGGGGCGGGGGGAGGGCGGGTTATTGCGCCATTCCCTTCGTTCGTTATAGCTTGTTAAGTACAATGCAGGATCGGGACGGCAGTTGGTATGAGTTTCGAAGGTGATATCGGTCGGGGGTTATGTCTGTCTGTGTCCGTCTGGTACAGAACGAAACAAAGGGTTAGATAAAAGAGACGGCGGGTTGAATAGGAGAAGCAGCGGAGAGTTCGTTGGAGAGACGCGACTCGAAGGACGCAATTCAATTAACCCGATAAGCGATAAGGCCATCAAGGGACCGATAACCTGACCTGAAGATGCAAGCTCTAGGGGATTGTGGGGCTCAGTGGGGTTTATTGTGGGGCAACGTGGCCAGGCTTTCCAGGAACGGGCATGCTTTGGCTGGCAAAGCAAAGCAAAGCTCCTGAAGTTGGTGAAATGATCACCGGCAACACGAAGGCAGTCAGTCAATTCAGGTTGCTCCTTTTATTCACAATGCTTCTTCCAATGAAAGCTAAGCAGCGTAAAAGACAGCGTCTCAAATAGTTTGACAACCCAACAATGAACGTGGTATATTTCCTTCTCTAACCCTAAATCCCTTGTTTTCCTAAACGCCACAACCATATGCCATCTTTGTTGCCTTCAACCTTTGAACGTGAAAACGCCAGATGCTCCCAGATTCAAAACCCATGTGTAAACAGATCCAACAGCAACATACTACCTATTATGTAAACTTTTTCAAATCCTCCTTTTCCACCGTGCTGACAAAGGCATGGGTGAGGAAGTGCATCCAGACCTTGTTCTGCCTTTTCTTCCCCTTCTTCTTCTTGTTCTTCTTCCTGTCGTGCTTCTTGAAGGTTTCCGTCTCCAACTCGTCTTCGTCCGAGTCATCGTCTACTTCTTCTCCATCACTCAGATCATCATCTTCTTGTTCTTCTTCCTCGTCTGTCTCTTCCACTTCCTCAAAGAGATCCTCCTCCTCCTCCTCCTCTTCGGCCGCGGACTCGTACGAGACATCAAGACTCTTAGCCTTGCCTTTTTTGGGCTGCTTACTTATCCGGTACGCAAGCTCAACATAGTTTTTGACTGTAAGATCACTCAGCTTGTACAGCTTATCATCAAAAGTACTGTATTCCACCTCAAATTGAAACTCGCGCGGGTCCGGCTTTGGGTGGATAGGCTTCCTGTTGCCGTGCCTTCCTTTGCGCCAGCGGAGAAGCCAATCCACCCATGTCTCCTCCTCTTCATCGTGATCCAACAACGCAGACGAGGCCTCGGTAGTAATGTTGTTGATGTGCGTAAGGTTGGCAAAATACTGAGTGTAGCCTGTCAGCGTAAGGGGCTGTGGGGAGTAGGCCGGTCCTGGCGGTGAGCTTTTCGCAGGGGGGTGGGGAATGAGGAAGTCGGGTTTTTTCGGTTTGGAGTCACCACCCTTGTTCTTCTTCCCCTTTTTCTTCTGGGCGTCGATCTCGTCGTCATCTTCCATGCGAGAAGAGTGTTGTCGCTTGAGGTCGAGGTGCTTCTGCCTGTCATTTTGCTCCAATTCGATCGACATCGCGTCCTTGGCTGCGTCCCTCCAAACGGGCGTGTCCTCCAACCCCGAAATATTGTATTCGACGATACGCAGGGCAGGATAGTAGTTCGGAACGATGCTGGGGCTGACGAGAGATAGCGAGTAGCGTTCACCCCACACGTCGGGCTTTTTCTTCTTGCCCTTCCTTCCCTTCTTGCCTTTCTTCATTTGGCCAGAGTTCTTGGAGTCGGTGGGCGGCGGTTGAAGTTTTGCCCAGTTCTGACGTAGTTCTTGGAGGTAGTCGGCTGCTCCCGTTACCGAGAGCTCGTCGTCCATGGCCTCCCGAATGTCAATGCTATCACCGGGCAGTCCGGCTAGTTGGCCCACGTTGATGTCCCGCTCATCGTGAATGAAGAAATGGTCGATGTTCATGTGGCCAAATACGCCGCTCACAACCACATCCCGATACTGGCGGAGCCAGAGGCTGTACTTCTGCCAGCAATTCTCGTCCCACAGCTTTTTGCTATCCGTCCGCGCAGGAGGAACATGACCCATAAGAATGGCCTTCATGCCACGCTGCCGCATGATCTGAAGCTGGATGCGCAACCACTCCATCTGCTTGTACCCAGGCTCACTGGGGCTGGCGCAACCATCAGTCCCAGCATTGCGGTCGAAGAAGTACAGCGTATTCAGGCTGAAGATGGCGAGCCTGTTCGGGATAACCTCGACGTAGAACCACCCTCCGAATTGAAAGCTATGGCGCTGTGCTTCTGGGACAAAGCGGCGCCAGATGTGCGTGTAGTGCTGCAGCCATGAGTTCGGCCCTGGGAGCAGAATGTTGTGTGGTAAGATGTCATTGTTTCCCAGCGTCGGTACTATGGGGATTTCGAGGTGACGGCCCGTCGAGTCAGAGAAGAGTTCGGCCATCTTGTCGGCGATCCAACGGTTGGTACCCAAAACTTGGTCGGCATTGCGCGGGACTCCCTCGTCGCTGTCGTGGCGGGCAGTGTCGCCGGTCCAGATGACAAAGTCGATATCGTCCTTGACGTTGGCGGCTATCCAGTCGAAGGTTGCGTTGATGAGGGCGAAGGGCGAGTCACAATCCGAGACCTCGGCGCCGTAAACGCCCGCAGGCCCTTTGCCGCGGTGGCAGGCATCAGCTTCGTCTGTGGAAGAGTGCGGCTTGTAGAACTGGTCGGGATGTAAATCTGGGACGACGAAGCGATTAGCTCTCAATACTTTGGGACTTTCCGATCGTCGCGTCTCTGCCCACCAGTAATGTGCAGAAATTTGCCGTGTAACTTTCTTGCAGAGTTCGCGATGGGTTGTGCGACTGTTTCTGCTGTCTGAAGGTCGGTTGCAATCGGGATGTTGGATGGGACGGCACCCAGTGGGCTGGCAATGACGCCATGCCACAGGCAAGCCAGCCCTAGAATGCACCGGCTGAGTGACATTGGGTGCTGCCTTTGGGACTTTGTTGGAGACTCTGAAGACTTGAGAGCCGTACAGAGGAACAAAGTTGAAGATGGCATCTTCAGAAGAAGGGAAAAAGGAAAAGAGGAGGGTTCAAACTGAACTAAGCTTTTTTACATAGTCGGTGGCGTGTTTCGTGAAAATTCCTGGAAGTCGGCCGGTGAAAGATTCAGTCAAAAGGGAGCCCAAACCAAGGCTTTTTGAAGATCGGTAACACGCTTCTCCATTTGACCTTCTTGGTCCCAGTCCTTGGCAACTTGGACCCTGAATAGTGGGCTCTAGACATCACTGGTGACCGCAGTGGCCAAGTGGAACGCCGAGTTGGCGTCTGGGGGCTGGAACCTGACCTCGATTGAATGGATCCGATGGACAGCGGTCAGGCGCACACTTGCAGACATCAAGGTGCTTTATTCCCTCTTTTAGGTCCCGTCGTTTTGATGTAGGATCGTCCCCAACGTTATTGTCATCCAGCATACGCCTTCGTTGGTTAATATGCTTTTCTTGGACATAGAATCTGCCGTCGATCTTCGTGACAATAATATTTGACCTTTTCCCCATTGCTCTTCCTCCGTCTGTATGTGCGAAATATGTCTCGAGATACGAATAGGTATCCAGAGCGGGCTCATACCCCAAGAAACCATGGCAGATATCACGACTTTTTGCTTCAATATTGTCGGTACAGGGTGGTACGAGGCTTACACGTCGTACCTCAGATGGGACCTTGCAAGACACCAATATCTGTTCAGGATCATCCCACGTGTAACTCAGAGAGGGGTGCGCACTGATACGCAAAATGCGTCGTCGAGCTGACATGGATATAGGCAACCACCGAGATGGGACACATGAGCGTGCCGCCAGAGACCATGTCGAACATGTATCACTGCCATCAAGGTGGCGTCCTTCACATCAGATGAAACTTCTAGAGGCTACCACTCCGAGTCGTGTAACTCCGGACGAAGAGGAGAACAGTCCGGCTCCAGCCTGTACATAGTAAAAGAAGCGTGCATTGTCAACCGGAAATCACGTCCTCGTGAGCAGAACCAAGAAGAACTGTCAGTTATCTCCGTTGTACATCTGGAGATGATGTCAGGTTTTGGTGGGTGCGTTGACTAAAAACGAAGTTCCCCACCACTGCCCTGCCGTCGTCGGTGCCGCTGCCGCTGCCGCTGCAGTGCCGCCAGCTGAGCTCGACGTCGACAGCGCGCGGGGCAAGCACAGTACGTTCAAGTTTCACACCCTAACTATACACTGTATGGCATCCGCGCCCATATCTTGAAATTTTCGCCGCGCTTCCTCTTCTGTTTCTTTTTCCTTTTTTCTTCTTCATACATATACATCAATTCAACGCAATCAGCGCCGCCTCCAAGGACTTTTGTTCCCCGTGTCCAGCGAGTGCTCATAATTGCTAGTTGCTAGAGTAACACCGAACAGTTTGAGGGAATCCGGAGCGCATGCTGTGATGTTTTCCTATGAAATCCCGGTCACATGTCCAATCGTCCACTTGATCTTTGTATGCGTGTGTCTCAAAAACATGTGTTACTGCCGAGATATATCGCGCAAAAGAGAGCCGCTCGCTCGTCTCTGCTGATCTGTCGAAGCCCGACGAAACTGAACCTTGCGCGCCTGCCCTCATTGTGACCAAGCCTGACCACTCGGCATCGAGCAATGTCTGGCAAGATCACCACATTTCCAGCCAGCCAAACTTCGGCTTCCCTGTTGCGAAGTTCCCGATCCGTTTGTCGTCGGCATATCAGATGTACAGTAGCTTCCGATCGGCGCTTCCGAAGGACGACGGCCCCTCCTTCGATATGTGCTCGAAATGCGTACGGTCAATCAGTGGCTGAGCTGCGTGCCAGACATAGCGACTTGTTCTCTACACAGTTTCCACTTCCCACGTTGTTCTGTTAGAGACGGAGTATCGAGGTTCCGAGGGTCGCTCCGACTCGATGCTTCGTAACCTAGCTGTATGATGTAACGCCACGCAGATCATCCGTCGTTAGCTATATGTAGTGTAAATTCACAGACTATCACATATGTCCACTGAGAATGTCCAATCAGCCCCAATCTCTAGTTTGATCAACTTCTACCCATCAAGAGCGGCCATCCGTTCCCTGTCATATGAAGACATATACCTACCTACACAAGAGACACAAACTTCAAAGTATCTCCACTGAAGTAACCAGGCACGAAAGTACATACCTACCTACTTGCAAATCAATTTACGACTTCCCAAAATCAAGCACTTTCTGGCACCTATCTACTTAAAGAGTAATCAGTAGTTCCCCGCTGTCCGTATCAGTGTTCTGTATAGTTGATCGTGGACCGCACGTTGGTTCAAACATGCCGCCGGGTTTCCAGGTAGATGAATGGGCTTGATATCAAACTCCAATTTCTCAAGTCTACAAATCCTCCCCCCCTTTTTTTTTTTTTTTTTTTTTTTTTTTTTTTTTTTTTTTTTTTTTAACCCCTTCCCCGCCGACTTGACTTGCCCAATTTCGTCAACGCTGGTTCACCTCGGAGACATCCTGCAGTCACATACTGTATACACTTCGACTTCAAGCTCAAATGAGACCGAACGGGGATTTCTCGCTCCTCCTCGTGTATGCATGATCGAGAATACCGAAGTGTCCAATAGCAGCAGGGTCTCATGTCATCATCCAACCTCAATTCCCTCCCCCCCCCCCAAAACTCGAAAACAAACTGACAAGAAACCGGGAAGAAAACCCATTTCGCGCTTATTATTTTTACTTTGTCTTGTGCTACATCTTCACTATAAATATATAAATGGAACAAAACCCACGCACGTGTCTTTGATCACGGTAGCGAAGGCTTACAGGTAGCGGGCATCTATTCTATTGATCTCTTCCTCCCCCACGCCCTCCCTAATCTTGATCTACCCCTAAATAGGGGGAAAGTGAACATACGGTATCGGCGTCCGATATTAAAAGTAACAGAAAGAAAGTCAAGGTCGTTTGCATCTTCGGCTATTCTGAATATGGCATTATGTTTGGATAGGTAGTGTGAACGGATGTGTCAGGTAATCTTTCTTCCCCATAGGATGTCTCGAGATGTAAAACCCAAGAATGTATCAGGCCGACGATATCAAAACAGTGTGAAGATCTCTCAATAGCATCTAGACTTATAGACTGCAATCCATCCCTTTGTCGTAGGGTATATGTATTACTTCTCCCGCGGTGACTTTCGTGGCAAGCTGGTAGGTTGGTGCAGCGGGCACGTTTGTGTGGCCCCCCTCCTTCCTCCTGTTCCCCCCGGCTCTCATGTACGCTACGCGTTCGAACCCGGTAGCTGTAAGTCCACATTTCTTTTTCTCATTTTTTGTTTTGTTTTGGCACATTTTCAGCTTTTTGTCCATTTTTATTCTGGGGGACTTCACTTCCAGCCATAAAGCGTCAAGCCGTTGAAGTTCATGCAAAAGCAAACGAGAATCTTCGTGATTAACAGGCCAATAAGTCTAGTCGATACACACCTCTAACCGGCTACTTCATCATCACCTCCACCCGAGAGCACACCCTCGACACTCGAAATGTTGCAAGCAGAGGGCATCGAGAAGAACAGCCGAAGCGGAAGGATCGACGAGGGGGAAGATCAGGAATGCAAAGAAAGTAGCAACCCATGGGAACAGCAGCAGTGACGTGTTTGATACTGTCTATACATGAGACATTCTTGTTTTGGGCGCTGGGTTTATGTCGGTTCATAAGGTAGATAAAATTGCACACCCAAGGCTGCTTGCTTTGCTGATTTCCGCACGCGAAGCCTACCAATCACCTAGAAATCTCTCTCAACCCACTCGTCGTGTATGTTTCTAGGCTCTCAGTCCGTAACCGGCAAGATGATAATGTCCCTAAGCTCGAAAATGTACGCGTGTACCCAGTAATCGCATGCATACCACTGCCATTTGGGTTTAGACCAGCAGCAAAACCCCATAAGAAAACAGAGGAAGTGGCATGACACAGGTATTTAGGCCGTCGTATATAAGTAGTAAGAAAGTAGAAGAGGGGAGCAATATGACATGAAAAGGAACCCATTACATCATTAATCACTTAAATCATCAACCGCATATCAAGATCCATACATCGACATCGTGCATCCACTCTCAAGTTCTTCTTGTTCTTCCCATCTAATCCGTCTTCATCTCATCCGTTGGCAGTGGTGAGCCTAGTGTCACCTCCGGGCTGCGACGCAGCCTCATCGCTTCCACGTAGCTCGTAGCAGCTAAAGGTGTTCCAGTCGACTGCGGCTCCTTGGATAGGTTCCCATCAGCATCACCCATTTCCTTGTCGATCCTTTCTTCTTGGACCTTCGACGGGACAATTTGATTCTCCGATGTTGGCTCGGTTGCAGATGCCTGTCTAGGTAAATATGACGAAGAAGGGGGCAGATATGCCTCTGATGGTGGCTGTGGGAGAGGTGCTTGGATTTCTGATCCAGTAATCTCTTGCTCAGGCGCGTCCCTGCCAATACTGGCAAGCATTGCTTCATTCTCCAACACGGAGTCGGCGACTAGCTTGAGATTTTGTGCGTCCCTGGCGCTGAGGCCTTGCTGTTTAATAGGCTCTGGCTCTGGATGATCTCTTGGTAGGGTTTGGATATGAGGAGGCGGCGGTAGCGCGTGCGCGGACTCTCGGCGCCGATTAATCTCAAGCTCAATATCGAGCTCTTTTCCCTTGTCGGTGCTTGCAGTGGTGGGTGTCTTTGTGGCTAAAGAGTCCTTCCTGGTGGTTGCGCTGCTGCTGCCCGCCGTCTTTGGCGTGGACGGGACGATGACATTCAAAACGCAATCGTCCAAATGCTCGTAGAATTCTTGCGCGGTAGGAAACTGACTTTGGCAGATGCTACATCTGGCGCCAACCCCACCGGACCGCCCCCCGGTGGTCAGTATTAACTTTCTACTATTTGGTGGTGTCTGTTCAACGTTGTGCACGGCGGTCAAGTGGCGTTTGAACACATCGGCCCGGTTGAAAGCCTTCTCATATGCCGTCCCAGCTCCAGGACAAAAGGGGCATACCATGGTGCCCTTGTAATGCGTCAGCGCATGTCTGTTTTTGTCATACTTTCTGGCAAATCCCTTGATGTGGTACTCGCAGGACTCTATAGGGCACTTCTCGGGTCTTTCTTCCATGTGTGTGAGCATATGCGCCGTGAGATCCTTAAACACTCGGCCGCATTCAGGAATAGGACAACGGTTTCGAGCAGATGAGGTCGCGCTGGGCGGATGTGATGACTCATCGGCTTTCAACCCCGGGTTGGGAGCAAGGAAAACTCCCTGGCCGCCTTGCATTATGAGTTGCGGCGGCCCAGTAGCGCCAAGCCTGTCAATTGAAGGCATTAATAACGGCGGACCATGGTGTGGTTGTGATGGAGGAGCTGGGGCAAGACGTGGTATTTCCAACACTGGAGCATGTTGTTCAGTCGGTGACATAAAGTCATGCATCGACTTGAAGTCTTGTGTCTCATCTTCACCACTTGAGGCGTCATCCTGATCCTGAATATCGATGGACTGCCGAACCTCACGCATCCAGTCCTTGAGAATCGCCATGGGCGGCCAGTCTCCGCTTGCTTTGCCCCCTCGATGAGGGTTGAAATGCGCTCTCCTCAGATGTGCAGCGGCATTGTAGTAGGCTCCATATCGTTTCTGTGTTACGCATGCCTTACACTTTGCCAACGGAACGACGGGTAACGGGGAGCCTGGCTCGTGCGGTTCCGTGCATACCCACCTCTTAACCAATGCAGCGTGTTTCGAATCGTTGTGCCTCCGAAGTTCATGCTCGCCTCGGAACCCCTCTGGATATTCGTTGCACTTCGTACAGTATACTCTTCGTAACGGTGGCCGCTGGTATGACGATCTAATTCTTGCAGCAGCAATGGGTGACGTTGGGCCTCGGCCACCTGCTCTCATGTATGTTGGGCTTTCAGCAACAGTATGCCGCCTTCCCGCCTCCATCACTTGAGGAGAAGTCAGGATCCGATCTGACTCTCCTGTGAAAACATTGTAAGAAAAAGGCTCCTTCTCTGGTTGGGTTGATATCCTGGAATGCCATGGATTGGCAATCGATCGTGTATCTGGCAGTGGCTTTCTGGCATCTTCCCCCGATCTTGTAATGGGAGGCAGAAGAAATGACCCCGGCTTTGCTGGTGATCTCTGCTTCAGGAACCCATTGAAATAAGATCCTTCTATCTCCCCACTACCAAGATACATCAGAAAGTCCTTGGTGGTTGCGATACCCCGTTCAGCCCACGTGCCCCTTTCCAATACAGTGGCTGCGGAAGTCAATAGCTCGCGGTCACCATGACTCATCTCAATGTCAGACCCGTCAAGCAGCATAGGCGCGGACCAAGTAAATATGCTCACCAGCGCTTTGTACACGGCATGCATGGCAGGAACGCCTTGCTGAGAAGGGGAAGTTATCCGTGATTGCGCCATTCGGTCCACCAACAAAGTCCTCACTACACTGAATATGCATAGTGAGTAGAAAATGGCGAGCCAGCTCCGGGGATCCGGTATTGTAGGTCGCATTGTCTGGGCTTCAAAGGCCTGGAGAAATTGTGTCATGCAGTTGTATAACACACGGAAGCGACCGCACGTGTCCACATCGTCGAAGACCACATGGCTTCCGGGGCTCGTCATCTCTCCGTGAATTGCGGGTTCCGGCTGCTGGAAGTCGTAGAAAAGCGTTTCACGAAGCAGAAGCTTGGCGCGATATAGGACAGGGTAGGTCGTCACTTCGTGCATCCGTCCGTCTGAGATCGAGCCGCTCAAGTGTAGCAGTTTCCAAAAGTTGTACATGGTCCCATTCAGGTTCCAACTAGAGGCGAGAACGTTTAGAACAGGGGGTGACCGTTCAACGGGTTCCTGAGAGAACGAAGCGAGTGTTGGATTGGCGAGCGGCAGGTTCGAGAGGTCGTCTGTCCACCAAAAGCGATCATTGAAATCCAAATGAGCCTTTACCATGCTGGTGACATCTGGGCCAACAGCGTAACCTCTGTCCAAGAATTCGTTCATGCTGCGGCGAATAGCAAGAGGAGAAGTCATGGGCGTCTGCATCTGTCTGGGTGACAGATAGGCTGGAAGATCGATCAGCAGTTGAGGTATCACGTATGGCAGTATTCCACGTACCTGGAAGCATAATGTCGGTGAGATTGCTCAGTGATCCTCGAAAACACCCAAGGGCTCCCCAGAAATCATTATTCGGAGAGCTTGCGATGTCGGGGCAGAACGCACAGGGATCATTGGAATCGCACTGTACAATTTAGTCGATAGTTCCGTGTATCGCAGGGGAAATTTACTCACGCTCTTCTTCATCGTTCTACACCGTAGACAGGGCCCATTTTCCCTCAGAAGTCGAAGCTCTCCTATGGACTCCAATCGTGGCTGGCCTACTCGGCTACGCTTCAGGGGCGGAAGTAACGGGTCAACCTCGGAGTCGACCGAGCCTCTGGGAGGTCCAGGAGGCTTCTCCGGAACAAAAGAATAGCTCTTAAGGGCTTCGCGGTGATCCTTTGGTTGGCTACTCGTTGCCAGGGGGGCAAGCTGGAGACCCGAGTTAGGACGAGGGAGGTGGTGATATGAAGAGGGTGGCTTGTGATATTCTCCATTATAGCTCGCACTCAACGGCTCAGGGAAGATCATGGGCGGGGTGCCACCGAAGGAGAGACCTGAGTCCCTCTTGTACACGGCCGCGTGCTCTTTAACATGCTGGTCCCGGTCATCTGGATGAGGATATCCGTAGATGTAATGTGTGCAACGTTCATCCCAGCACTTGTGGGAGTGGTGTTGACGGAAAGCCAGTGGCAAGCTGTCGCGCAACCGAACGGCTTTGCAGACGGGATCGTGATGTGACAAATTCCTGTCTAGCCAAGCGGCATACCCTTCCGGTGCTTGGTCGCGATAGAACGCGTACTTGAGCACGTCAACGAATCTGGGGTCACCGAGATCGACGCCTAATGGCAACACAGATGGGTTTAGAACAGATTCAAGACAAAACGGGCGGGACGATGGTGACCTACCGTGCTCAAGACATGCACTTTCGATACATTCGCACTGATACTGAAGTGATCTCGCTTCCTCGATGTCAGACAAGACGGGAATCTTGTCAGACAATACTGTTTACGGCGCCATCAGCACGGGTGGCGCTTGGGTCGGTCCCACAAACCGGGACGTGAAGCTAATAAAACATGACGGGATAATGGATGTAATGAGATGAAGAAAGGTAGAGGGGCGGAAAGGCTTACGATTCTCGTCGGCATATGCGCGCAGGACACGGTACTTATGGCGCAACATGTCAAGCTCCACCTTGATGTTGGGTCCATATTTCTGAGGAAGAAGAGCGGCCAGCTTGGCCTGGATCTCGGCTTGTTGGTCGAGTAAGTGCTTAATGGCGGGATCCAGGGATGGGCCATAGGGCACAGAAGAAGGTGGCGGCGCAGATGGATGAAGATGAGCGTGGGCGTGGGCGTGAGGATGTGCGTGACTGTGAGGATGAGCCACCTGTTGAGGTGCAGCTACGGAGGCTGCAACGGGGCCGGGGCCGGTACCGATAGCCGGATTGTGCCCGGGGCCGGGACCAGGGCCCAGAGGTGGTGCAAGGACCGACGGTGGAGGTGGGGGCGGCGGCGCAGTTAATGAGTTACGATGGTCCGGGCGCGAGAGGGCCGGCGACTGGACCGGTTGCGCTGGCGCCGGAGGCGGAGGGGGTGCGATATGTTCGGTGGCCATGGCGCGTGTGGATGAACAATAGCGTTGGGATTGGGGCCGGCGCTAAAGATGACTGCCGACCAGGTCGCACTGCCGGGTGCGTAAGAGATGAGGCGAGCAAGATTGAGAACTGAAAGCCTCCAGACCCGACAACAACAGTGATAGCGACGGGCTTGCGCGCCCAACAGGCAAAGCGGTGCGAGACTGAGAAAAATACCGAGCACACCGAAGTCCCGTCTGGATGAAGTCCCCTCTGGATACTGCCGATGGCCCTGGGCAACCAGTGTTGCACCAGCTTCAGCTTGAAAGCCCACCAGCGAACTTTTTCCAATCTTCACGCATCAACAAGGGCCTTTGTGAGTTGAATTGCGCAACATGGTAGAGACGAGACGAAGGGCTGTGACGGACTGCGGCTTGTGGAAGCTGGGGTGTTTGGGCAGCCAGCTGCGTTGCATCACAAGGACATTCTGCTGGCGCGGACGTCGGAGCGGTACGGGGTGGTTGACGGTAAGTAGTCGGTGCTGTACGGGAGACGGAGGAAGGAATCCAGCGGATGGGCCGATGGGGAAGCGGATGGAGAAGCGGGGAGGCGGAGATAGGTGACGGGGAGGCGCGACGACGGGGGTCCTGGCCGATGGAGAAAAGTGGAGGATTTTGTTGGGTGAATGTTCGGTGCGGTGCCGTGTGGGTTTTCCGGAACTGATGTGCGTGGGCGGGTTGAAGGAAAGCTCGCTGCAGGGCCTCGGGCTGCTCAGCCTCAGGCAACGGAGATGGTTCCTCCTTGTTGAGGAGAGCACGTAAAAAATGTGGACGAGTCCCCACGAGGGACAGGACGACAAACGTAGATTTTTTTTTTTTTTTTTTTTTCCCAGATGACGAGCTACTAGCCAGTGCAGTGGGATGGAAGTCAAGCGGGATGTGCGAGTCCAGTCTCCCGCACTTTCATATGGCTTGTCTGCCTGCCTGCCCCGGAGAACTGCACTACTACCAAGGTAGGGTAGATGGATGATCACAAGTCTTGAGCGGGAAGGTAGTGACCGCGGGCTGAGCTGATGCCCTGGGGCTGTCACGGTCCGAACGCTGCTGACAAGTCTTGTTCTCTCTTGGCTGTGACTGCCGCCGGCGCTTGTTTCTACCTCTGTCTGGGCTTCCATTTGGAAGGTACTTTGTCTCAAATGCCTGATCGGTCTTTTCTTTCTCCCCATGAGGAGCTTTTCCTGGGTGCCCGTGTAAACCGAATGGAAGGCGGCAATTGTACGAGGGGGAGGAACAGAGACAAAGAGTGTAGGGTAGCTAGAATGTGGGAGGAGCACTCATTGGAAAGCTCTCAAAGGTATGGTAGGCACGTTTGACATGATTCACTACGATAAGGACTATTAACTCAACCGCGTTTCATCAGCCCCAGGTTTCTTGCGGCCACCTTCAGCCAATGGAGGAGTCGGAGGATGTGAAGACGTCGCAAGATTTCCTCTCGGATCCTGGGCTTCATGTTCCTTGATAGCCAGATCAGCGCCATGGTCTGCAGGTAGAGATGCATCCAAGCTGCCGACTATTTGACAGCTAGGCACAGCTGGAGGGTTCTGGACGCAGCCAGAGCTTCAGGTTTTCTCTGGCTGATATAGCTAGAATCATCAGGCCACCCGACCAAGACCTGTTGACCTAACGAGTCTAAGCATTTCTGATTTTCCCGTCTCTTTCTTTCTTTCACACCTGCCTCTACTCCTGTCCTTCCATCCTGTGTGTAAATCTCCGTCCTTTGGAGGACACGGCTACTCTCGGACTGGATGCTCTAGTCAAATCCTCAAGCTCAGCTTGGACGCGCATGCGTATGCCACCACCATATCCACTCACTCCCTGATCCATCCATCCCGCTGCACAGCTCACCTGCTGCATGTCTGCAAGTGCAGTCCACTACACATGCACATGTATATTACACCTGAGCTCTCAAAACGACAAATGGGATTTCCACTCGGCTAGCCACTTCCTCCTCATGGAACCCCCCTCTTTCGGCGGGAGAAGCAGAGCCGGTGAAATCGACTGGACGCCTCAACGCCATGGGAGTGAGAGAAACCTAAGAGTCGCGATGTGAAAATGGAACTCGCCGCGATAGGGCTCGCTCACGGAGCCTTGCCGCATCTGGGCTAGCCCACTATGTACATGTGCTGATCTTAGCGAGGTCTCGACGACCGTTGAAAGCGTTCCGCCCGGGCCATGTCCGGCGGGGGGCAAGCTCATTCTCCCGCCCAGGAAGTGGTCAACCATCCAATCAATGACCAGCGTCATTTGGCATTGGGGATGAGAGGTGGATGCCAGCCGTAGTGTACAGTAAAAACCCCTGCTTTTGCTACCCCCCCCCTTTTACTAAAACCCCCCCTTTTGCTAAAGATTTCGGTTGCCCGCATTCCCTCTGGTGGTAAGGACTGCTAACTGCTAATTGCAATGCTGATGGCCCGGATTTGCAAAAGCAGGGGTCTGATTTTGGTGGGAGAATACACTTATACCCTTGTACCGGGGGGGCAGCTGCTTCAGGTGACCCACCTTTTTAGTCCATTGGCAGTCATCCAGTGGCCGGGAGGTTCATCTCTGGTCCGTGCGCATGCACCCTCTTTTGCAAAACCCCCCCTTTTGCTAAAAAATCTGGCTGCCAGAATTGTTTGCAAAAGCAGGGGTTTTTACTGTAGTGCAGAACTCCACTGGAGCTTGCTGTGGGGTAAGAGCTCCGCTTCCCGCTCAGTCCCGCCCGCTCCGTCTTCATCATCGCTTTCATGTGTGACGGAAGGCCCACTGCAACACAACATCATGCTCCATTTCAGCCAGGCAGTCACAGCCTCTGGCCCTCTGCACGCCTCTTGCTAACCAATGCCAACCTTTGTGTCTCTTCGTTGTCTGTTCTCACGGCAGACGCCATTTGCACTGGAGAGAAACGGGTCGGTCTTCGTCTGTCATGACTTCCCGCTGCCAGCTGGCCGGCCATGTTGGCGTCTGACTTGCCCGCGCCTTTAAGACGGCACGTCAACAGAGCTTTCCAAGTTTCGAAAGCTACGACTTTGACGAATTTCAAATCCGCTCTCTCAAGGCAAGTTGTTGGCTCCTTCGCTCGACGCCTAGTCTGAATAGGGGAGACGCATGTAACCCATGGTGCACGTCACATCGGTACAGACGATTACGCATGAGAATAAGAAGCGGTACGGCGGGTTGGAAACTAGGCACCTACCTCTCAATTGATGGGATATGGGTTGGGCGGACAACAGGACGGGTTGTAGGTGGTGATGTTGAGAGGCTTACAGCACTCACTTATGCCCTCCCCGTTCAAACCGTAGCAACGTGGCAGGACAGAGCGTGAACTCTTCCCAATTAGACCCTTGGAGAACCGTCAACAGCCGCGACACCAGGAAACTCTCTCATTGATGGCGACTCTCGTCTTCCGCAACGCAGTCTCAGCTGGTTCCTGGACACCAGTATCCTCGGCACTTCTCGGACTGCCGTGCTTCAACGGCGTGACATCGGCCCATCCTTGAGCAATATGTACCGCTACCTTGCGAGCCTCCATGGTCACATTGAGTTGAGGAGCTGAGTTCCGATACTGGCCAGATCCCACCGAGCAGACTTGGTTCGAGAAGAAACGAACATGTGGATTCTCCCAAGTCATCCGCAAGCGTTCATCTAGATGTCTACAAAGTATTTTTCACAACATCCAACATCATCAACGCCAAAAAGAGACCGGTCAAGAGCAAAGGTGGCTAACTTCACACACAAATACTCAACTCGAGACTGCAGCTAGCCCAAAATCGCAAGTGAACCTAGCGAGTGTGGTCCATGATCCTCCTGCAACAGACCTAATAAGCCCCTCTCCTATCCAAAAACCGTCATTCAATCGCAGTTTTTTACAGACCTCCATCAAATGCGGACGGCCAAGAAGTCTTATCATACGGGGGTGTTATACATACTCCATCCTTAAGATGCTGATTGGCACTTTGGAGACAATAGACAATGTCCCTGTTGATCCCAACCACCCCATTCATTCTCCAACAACACCACGAGCATTCGCTGCGTGGAGTGGTACGAGCTCAACGGTCTTTTAGTTTCTGTCGTTTCAGTCGGACATAATGGGTAAAATGGGCTATTTGACAAGGCTTCTTCTCGTTAATGCTCTGGGAGGCAACAGGGTCGGCGCGGCTGGTTGGCGCCTTGTGCACCCGATAGGTGCGCTCAGCTGGTAACCTTGTCTTTGCGAGCTTCTTGAGACTTTATCACATGATGTACAGCGAGATGATCTCATGTGTCTGCCTTGTTGAGTCACTGAAGGTTTCTTTTTCGTGACTTCATTGTTTCATGTTGTAAGCCTCTCGCGTAAGGAGTATGTCAACGGCATTCCAATTGGATTTGATACGCATGTCCACACTCTTATTACTCACTCGCTCTAACGGATGACCTTCGAGTTACCATCTCCAGGCCGTTACTCAGCCGCCCATGCATTATTGCACCTGCTTACACCCGGGTTGGTCAACTTTCAGACTCCGTTTGTGTCAGCATGGGGCCAAAGAGACGTTCTTCTCTTACTGATAGTGAGTGTTCTTTCCTGAGTGAAGTTTGAGAAGATTGTGTTTCTCGGTTTATGCTAATGGTGTTTCACAGAAGGTTCGAAGCATGGCATCTGGCCAAAGTCGGGCCTCCTCTCGAACGGACGAAGTTGATATTGGATTTGCATAAATATGTGATACTGAAAATACTAAATGTTTCGATGACAGATACACTTCGAGGTGAGGGAGTTTTCCTCGATGTTGAGCGATGAGTTAGGACCATAAGGTGTTGCACTGACGATTTGACTGAAACCCATGATATTGATATGTGCTAACCTAGGTTGTTACTTGTTCATAATTCCATGGACTTGTCGAGCGCCTCCTGCAGCATGGATATCACTTCGACATAGAACTCCTGACAGAATTTCTCGCTCTGCAACCCTTCGATGTTGATGAAAGTCTCGAGACACCGCGTTACCGCCGAGGTGTATTCGGGTCCCGCTTCTGCGAGAACCGCGCCCTCGAATCCCTTACCGAGTTTGTGTTTCTCCATGTAGTCATCCAAACTCATCGCTGCGACGTTTTTGTTTACGGTGTCGCTAGTAGATTGCCCTGCTCCAGGTACAGCAGCACCCTGTTTGTCTGATGTTGACTTCATGTCCAATTCGTTGATTACCCGTCCGAGCATGATCTGTATCAAGATCAGACCAAAGGAGAAGACGGTTGTCTCTCTTTTTCGGGATCTTGGCATGAACCCCGTTGTCCCGGGCATTGCAGAGGAAGCGGCGGACAACGGCATTGACTTCTTGATGAAAGGGCGGTAAGGAAACCCGGATGGGAAATTAGAGTCTAAGGGTTCATCTTCAAGGCGGAACCAGATATCGTCGAGTGTGATGATCCCCGGCAGCCATGGGCTACTGTAGAGGTGAAGGATGTTGACGGCAATGCTGACGGCTAGCTGAAGTTGGTCTTGGAACTCTAGCCAAATTAGAGGTCCGTTACTCCCCTGCTGAAGACGAGCATCATGCATTCGGTTGAGTAGTTGACGCAAGGTCAAACTAGATGGTAAATCGCCCGGTTGCCAGCGAAGAATAGGGGGGGCCTCGGGTATGTGTTGGTCTTTCGACATAAGCGGTGTTGGCGCGTATAGTCCGAACCGGCGCTCAGGATCTTCACGATCCATGATATTTCCATAAAATACCCGCCCATGCTCCGTAGCAGGATGTTTCTCATGCTTTCGAATGAGCTGACATATCCCATCAACAGAACTCGGCGCCGATGTCTTGAATCAGCCCACAGTCTTTTGTTTAGGCTCGATGATTATATCCAAAGAACCTTTGATCAATGCGTTGACTGCCTTCTCCTTACTCGTTATCCTCTGCGCAGCATGCGTTATCAGTGTTTGAAATGCTCGCTTATTCAAACCTTCAGGGAACAGTTGGAGGGTTTCTGATTGCCCCTTTTGTTGTGGTGATTGTCTCGGAGTGTTAGTTGATGATGAACGGATGTTGAGTGTCCTTGGTACGTGGTCGTCGGCTTGACGACTACCGAGGCTGACGATATTAATCGAGAGACTGTACCAGCGCGACGATTCTACCGAAGGCTCAGCTGACATGGAGCCATTTGCATATAGCTCCAACGACACTGAAAAATCCAAATCCTTGGCCATGTCATCCTCAGTGCTGCCGGGATCCATCTCCAAAGGTCTTGGGTTGAGCTTTAAGCATGCATCGTGCGGTCTTGCACAACAGGCTGCTGTAGCTCCATCTAGAGCATTGGAGAGACTTTGTGAAAAATCTCGCAATAACTGGGTGAAGTGCCACTGAGAGCGATGCCGTCGGGGAGGTTCTAAACTTTTGTTGAGACTGACAAGCATGTAGAGGCTTGAGTTGGTCGCTTTGATATTGGCAAGAACAGCATCATAATCTTCTTTCTTGAGAGTGAAAGCTGTCCTCCTTCTGATTCCATGTCGAATGTCGTGTTCAGTGACGAGGGAATTCTACAAGCTACAGTTAGCACCACGCTACCTAGTATCATGCCATGCAGAAGGACATGGCACAGACAGTATCCTCTAATATAGCAACGATGTTGCCTTTGGCCTCAGTATAAAATGGAGGTGTGAGTTAAGATGTTCTCTTCCACGCACCTTGAGGTCTGGGCCAAGTCGCAGCTTTATCGCCAGCTCTGCCACCAGCTGTTGCAGCTCCTTCATCCCGCTCTCGATGGATGAATACGACCGTCCCAGCCGGGTGCGAAGTGCCCGATCGAGGTAGGTTTCCTTCCATTCAGGACCAAAAGGGTCCTCTAACATCCTGTCAATCTTGGAAGTTGGCGCGATGCCCTGAAGAAGCCATTCGCAAGTGCATGTCAGGATGCAATGCTCATTCGTCAAATCCTTTTCCAGAGCATGTAGGAGTCGCACGGCTTGTCTGTAGGTGGCTAGGGCTTTCTTGAAGGTTTGCAGTGTTTTGACTATAATAGGCAGCACTCCCAAAACGGTACCTGCGACTTCTAAACCTGACATTGCCGCCGAGGATGATGTTTATCGGCTTGTGATGTCGTGTGATAGCTCGTAGTGTGTACAATGGCTCACACACGCTTGTGTTGAATGAACATGAAGCGTAGTACGCGGTGCCAGGATAATCGAGCTTGGATGAACAAGAACGCAGCTTACCAACAGTGACCCCTCAATGGGGCAGTTCCGTTATGACGCCAGCCTCATCGTCGAATTTCGAGTCGTACGAATCTGCAGGAAGATTGATGCCTGAACCACATGTTGATAATGCTTTGGGCCGAGACATTTGTTTTCTTTCTATGAACCTGGGTACCTACCATAGCGCGCTACCCGGGTTGTAGAAAAGGATCTCTGGGATGGTCCAGTAACTGTAAAATTCTCTAATGAACTGTATGATTTTGTATTGAAACTTATCCATGGATCAGTTCCATCCTGAAATATCAATACCTAGGGATGTTCTTGTCAGGTAAAACAACCTTGACTATGATCCTTCTAGCGAACTGGTTTTGGGTAGAAATATTTTACTTTAGCGATTCTTTTTGCGATCCTTTTCAAAGGAGGTGATTTTGCTCAAGTAAAATATTTGGGCCTTAGAGAGGAGTTTAAGGTTATCCTGGAGATGGTCTTGCCGTTGCAAACTGATCCATGGATCAGTTCCACATCAAAATCGTCTTGAAGTGTATTTTACAGTCACAAGAACATCCCCAGGATGATTTTCTCAGACCCAGGTGGCGCGCTATGGTAGGTAGGCGCACCTTACAAGACGTAGGTACTTGCCTTCTTTATGACAAAGGCTAGCCCGACAGAGAGCGTCGACGGCAACCCCTTCCGTACACAACGCTTCAAGCGCCATACATCCCGTCCTCGAGGCTCACGATGTCGGAAAAGTTGAAAATAGCGCCTCTTGTTGGTTCAAGTCTCTTGACTCTCAAACACCTAACTGCGGATCTGAAGGGTCACGGCGGGCCGCAGGCTTCCCTGGTCAACTCATCTTTGGCTAGGTTTAAGCTTTGGTCGGCCAGCTCAGGAGCATCCCGGGTCCGAGGAACACGCTCCCTCGAATACAAAGTCCGAGATGCATTGTCTCTCCGCAACCATGTTATCTCCCTACTCAAGGATTTGTGGGATGCCGCGGACGAAGGTACGACAGCTTTCTCATTCTCGATACTGTCTTATGCGTGTGTCCATTATCACTGTCACTCATACGTACTGACTCCCGCTTGCGCATTAATCTTACTACAGCCCGCCGGTCCTTGACAGATGATTTCTCAAGCGGTCAGGATGAAGAGCGCCCATTTCTTGTCGTTGACGACCTGGCCCAGTACTTTTCTAAGAACATTGGCCCGGAGATATCCGTTTTTGATGAATTCCTTGATGATATCAAGCGCATCGTTGACCGCCTTCTTCGACTCACTGTTGTATTCAAAAATCCTACGCCTCACGAACAGGTCTTGCCCATGCACGCGGACAATTTGATCAACCATGTGTCGCATGTACAAATAAAGTTTCCTGGGATTCCAGATTACCTAGCAGAGCGACTGGGTATGTCTCTGTTGATACGCCGCCATTCTTTCCGTGATCGAGAGGAGAGTTTCAACCGCCAGGTCTTAGACGCTGATCACACGCAAGGCCCGAGTCTTTATAGACCAACAAGGGATTGGGTTTCTAGACTTGGGCTCTCCAGAAACCAGAGAAGGACTGCCCAACAGCACGACGACGTAGATGACATTTCAGAAGTCATCACAACTGAGTTACGACTGCCCCCAATTCCAAAGGAATATACTAAAGGGTCGTTCAAGTGCCCGTTCTGCCATTCAGTGGAGTCGATACGCAATCGTCAGGGCTGGAAGTACGGCAGATTCCCGTTCTCTTCTTCAATATTGTGCCAGCGCTGATGTGGAAAACGTTTCACAGGAGGCATGTTTTCAAAGATCTCCAACCATACATCTGCTTATCGAACAGTTGCCCCACGCCAAACAGACTGTATGCCCGCCGGTCAGACTGGGAACAACACAAGCGCCTCCAGCACTGGAAGCTTTGAATGTGTCCATTCGAGTGTTCGGAGCCCATGCACGCAGTGGAGGAATTCGAAGAACATACTACATCCAAACACAAATACGAGGTATCTCGGCAACATTTGGACGGCCTGTTGGAACTGTGTTGCGTTCCTGATCCCACCAAAGCCTGTGGACGATGCATACTTTGCAATCATCAACTCGCCTCAGACAAGCTTCACATCTCACATGTCGCCTCGCACCTTGAACAGCTTGCTCTTCATCCTCTCCCGCTGCTAGATTACGATCATGATCAAAATATCGATGGGTGCGTGGAAGTGGACAATCAGATTGACGATGACAAGTCCAGTAACACCAATGGCGAGTCCGAAGAAGAAGAAAGCGACCAAGGCCAAGTCAATACTGATGACAACGATGAGTATGCAGTCTATGAAGAGAGTGCCGGTGGAAAGGAAGATCCAGAAGACATTCCAGCTCAGTCAGGCTGGAGCATATCTTTCAACATAAAAATGCTGCAGGGGTCAGCCACTACGGTTTTCAAGGCCTATGTCGATCCACAAATATCCAAGCTGCTTGTCGACAAATGGGGTTCCTACCATGGGCTTGTGTCTGAAGATCTCATTCGCAGTCATGAAAAACATGGTCATCAGTTTATTCTCAAAGAGAAGCTCGACGACCAGTATCTATTCGAATACAAGGGAACTTATGTGAGAGGCATCGGACGAATAAAATGGGTATGGTATGAAGATGTGCCGAGGCCCAGTGAGGAGTTGACGTTCGTACATCTTCTCATATGCAGTGATTTACCAGGCGGAATCAACATAATTGTTAAGGACAAGCCGGGAGGGAATTGCACTGTCAAGTCAGTTTCTGTAACGGATACGAAGGCAAAAAGCCGGTTGAGAATTAAATCCAAAACCCTTTGGTACTGCGTAAGTTCACCGTTTAACCCCACCAACATGTTTTCCCGTCATCTAACGGGCTTTGATAGTCTCATTGCGGATATGGCCCCTTGCGTTATGACCGGGACGAATTTTGTCCAGGTTGTCAGCACCGGAGATGTTCTGTGTGTCAAGTTACTACCATCGACTATGACCCTAGAAGCTACCTAAATAGATGACCTTTGCGTTGCCTTGCAAGGCCCTATTAGCCTAAACAGATAACTCCTTGTATTCCCACCGAGGAGCCGTGGCCTCTGGTATGGCATGACCTATCGAAATACCTCAACCAAGCATGTATCTGACCTACTTTCCTTTCTTGGGACACTCACCACTTCTGGTACCTAGGGCATGTTTAGCTTAGTTGTATGGACTCTGGAATTGTGCGCCGTTCTCGCTCTGCAGCAAAAGGCATCATTTATATAGTTAAAGATCACTATTTCACTATACGATTAGAGGAATAAAGAAACCCTTCACGGTCGTAAAATCAGCAAGCCAGCGTCATGTCCAACCAAAAGCTCGTCAATAACAGCACTCGGTGTTATGCGAGACTACAGATATACCTGAAGAAGCAAGAAAAGAAGTCAGGAAAACGAAAGGATAACGGAGAGTGACTCTGTAAGAAACCAACGTTCCAGCATCAACTCATTAACGTCCACTTCTTGTATGTTGTCCACATCTGCAATCTGATTGCCGAATAATATATACGAATTCCTGCCACTTATTACGATTTGTCGGAGACAAAGTTAAGAGATCAACAAAGGAAATATCAATCGTTCATCTAGAACAGTCCGCTATCCAAACATTCCGCTGTTACTACTGTCCATCAAGAACCAGAGTCAGAACTATATAAACCCCTTCACCAGAACAGGAACAAAACTAAGATTCCCCTTCGTTTTCCGCCCGTCCATAAAGCAATCTCAACAAAGACTATCAGTATCCAACACCATATCAATGAACCCCACCCTCTCCCCGTCCATCTCCCTCTGCCTCTTCATCTCTCTCTCCCTGGCCGCCAAGCTGGTGCTGGGCTTCCTCGCATACCCCCTGAGCATGCGGAACCCAGACCCGACATTCCTGCCCTCCTCCACAACGGCATGCACATTCGCAATCATCTTGCCGGCCTCGCGCATGGCTTCGCCGGGGGTGACCATGTCGGCCAAGCGAAGCTCGCCAGCAGCCTTCTCCATCTCCGCGCGCAGGAGCCAGCGCTCCCAGCTCCAGCCGGCGGCGATGCCAGTGATGGCGGCGACGTTGTCGGTGGATCCGAAAACCATGGCTTCGAGCTCGAGGGTCTTGGGGTCTTCTCCGGAAGAGGAGGCGTGAGCAAGGTCGATGCCACTGTCGCTGTCCTTGATGGGCCTAGGAGGGGGGAGGCCCGGCGTCTCAGCCTTGGGGGGCGGAGGGGGCGGCTTGGTAGAGTGGCTAGGGCCCATGGGCATGCACATCCAAGCGCGACGGATGTCGTCGAACCCGGCGCGCCGGAGGCGGGCCATGAAGGACCGCGTGGGGTTGGGGTCGTAGCCGAGCGTCTGCAGGGCGAAGCCGAACTCGACGGCCTTGGCGTTGCCGAGTGGGCCGGCGTTCATGATGTCCGCATCGAGAACAGAGAACTCGAGGTAGCCACCGGGCTTGAGCACGCGCATGCACTCCTTCAGGCAGGCGTCCCACTCGTCTGCGCCGTTCTCGCCAAAAAGCTTGAGCACGGCGTGCAGCTCGCGCGCGGAGATGAGGTCGAACTGGTTGTCGGAGAAGGGAAGCTTACCGAGGCGCTCGACAGCGACTTGCCGGTGGTTGGGAGGGCCGCGGATGTTGCTGTTGCTCAGCTGGCGGAGCGTCTTGGTGGTGACGGTGTAGATCTTGGTGTTGGGGTACTGGAGCGCGCAGTGCCAGGCCCAGTCACAGGCACCCTGGCCGGCAAGGTCGAGGATGCGAGCACGGTCGCGGCTGACGCCGTCGGCGCCGGGGGCGAAGCGGCTCTGGCGTGCGAGGCGCTTGGCTACGGGTGCGCAAATGAGATGGCCCCCGTTGAGAAGCTTGGTGGCGGCGACGTGCCAGGTGGCCATGTTCATCTGACTGCGGGCCTCGGCCTCTTTCTCCGCACGGAGCTTCTCAGGGTCATCGACGAGGACGTCATCACCACGAACCACGTTGGCGCTCATGCGCTTCTTGGCTGACTGAGGAACGACAGACAGCTGGAACTTACCAAGGAGCTGGTTGCGGTGAGCATCCTTGAGGGCGACACGCTGAGCTTGAAGTGCCTCAAAGCGTGGTTGGCGGTTGATGAAGACGTCGTTGGGGCAGGTCTTGACGGCGGCATCGGTAAAGGCGCGGTAGAAGGCATTTTCCATGCGCACCAGCTTGGAAGGAAGGGACTTGGGAACGGTCTCCTTGATGGTGATTTCGGAAAAGCGAACAGATTTCTTTTGCTTCGTCTCGGACTCGACATTGGTTTCCTTGGCTGGCTCTTCTGTCTTTTCCTCCACCGTCACTTCCGCCTCAGCCTCTAGCCCCTCAATGCCGAGCTTGAGGTGTTCATGGACTTCAGTCTCATCGGAAAAGCCAACGACGCCTTGGAGATAAGCTCTCTGGGCCATCAACCAAAGCTCAGTGCGTTCAATGTGGGAGAGAGAAGTCGATTGTTGTTCGGCAACATACTTGGCGTCATAGTCGTCGACAATCTCGTTAGCGACGATCTCGTTGCCGACCATGGGGGAAAAGGTCTCCTCGGCGATCTGTTCCAGGGCGGGTTCCCCAGATTCCGCAGCAGGCATCCTGACCGCAGTGACTGGAGTGGCCTCGACCCGAACCGCTGTCGGCAGCTCCTCCGGGTTTAATCCCGCAGGAACCTCAACTACGCGCTCGACAATGTTGGAAGGGCCATCGTCAAGGTGAAGCGGTCGAGGGGGTGGTGGGGACGTGGTGTTGGGGGCGTTTTGCCAAGGGATCTTGTAGAAGTTCTCGGCAGTGGTCGAAGTAGGGGGTTGGTATGGGTAAGGTTCCTCTGCTTGGCTACCCATGTTCCATGTGCGCCGGGTTGCTGAAGAGAGCTCCGAGAAGAAACCACCGGGGGAAGGGATCTCGAGCCTGCTGAGCTCAGCAAGGGATCGACGTTGACCGGAGGGGGCCCGGTTGAGGCTGGTCATCAACCGAGGAAGTTGGCGAGTCTGGGACATTTCTCGAGATATCATCTCCTGGGGCACTTCGATAACCTGCTCCGGGGCCGGTGTCTCGTCATATTCCGACTCGTGGTTGGAGGAAAGGGCCTGGAGCGTCTCCAATGCGCCGGGCTGGAGACGAACTCCTGACCAGTCCTCATCAACATTGTCGCGGGCTCCGATCAAGGGGGTCGGCGGCGCGGACATGGCAGCCATCTCCTCCGAGTTGATGCTGCCATCAAGGGAAGGGGGTGCGGAGACGTTGGGAATCTCCTGGATTTGTCGTAGCTCCATCAATGACTTGACAGCTGGGGACATGGCAATAGCGGATGGTGGTGTTGGTGGAATGGGCGAAGTCATGTTCTTTTTCGCACCCGCCTGGACATCGGCTGGGATGACTAGACGGGACAGAGACAGTCTTTGACCGATTGAAGCTCTCGATGACCTCCGCAGACTCCTCCTCGAACTCATGTGGCGGCCAATACCATTTGCTTGCAGCATCTCCTTGCGCTGCGTTTCCTCATCCGAAATGTCATAAAGGTCGTCAAATTCCGTCACATCAGTCATGGCGCTTGATCGTTTATTATTCCATGCTCCCGAAGAAGGGTTGGAAGATGAAGTCTCTGAACTTGTGTCGTCGGCATCCGTGTCCGGCCCGCGGTAGCTCGAAATGCACGACGGTGTTGCCGGCAGGATCGGGGCGGCAAGGAAATGGAGGCCCCGTGGCGTAGGGAAATGGTCACTCAAGGGAGAAAAAGGGGCAAGCCACTGCTCGATCTTTTGGTTGACTGGCCAGTTGCTGCTGTTGTTGTTCTGGATGTTGAAGTGTCTCCTTTGCTCCTGCTGCTGTGTCTCGGTATCGGTCTGTTCAGGTTCTTCCATTATAGGATTAAGAGTCCGGGCCATCCTCCGCCTGCCCTGCGGGGAGGGTGGCCGGTATGTAGTGCTGGGCAAAATCAGAAGGTCCGACATGATGTTGGTGTCGTGGTAATATGGGGTCGCTCTGATATTGATTAAAAAGTCTGGAAATAGAGCTGACCGGGAAAATGGAATGACGCCGGCGTCGATGCGAATGCAACAGTAAGACGAAGAGTATGGAAATGGGGGGCGTTAAACGATGGACCGGCTTCGGTCAACGAAGCTCTATTCCTGTATTTGCGCAGAAAGGTATAAGAAGAGAATGGAGATTCTGAACAGGACTGCTCAACGCAGCCGGTCTGGGCCACGCGATATTATAAAAGACAAAAAAATGGATGGATGGTCAGGTGCGTAATGGTGACAGCAGGGTCCACTTGGACTGTCTGTCCGCTGATTCCCACCACAGCGGCTAGCACGCTCTCTAGCATCATATGAAAGCCGGATTCCCGCTGATATTGCCCCATGTCCTCCCATATTGCGCCCCCGTTGTCGCCTGTTGACGTGACTCTGGCGGCCGGGCCCTGGCAGTCGGCGAGACTTGGCTTCGCTTTTCCCAGTGTCTCACAGGACGAGCTTGGGGTTGGGCAGCACCAAGAGTTCGAGATAGCCGGTTGACGAGGGTGGGAGAAAACTGTGCGACCGAATCAGGTTGCGCAGAAGGTCGACCAAGAAGAATCCGGCGAACCAAGCGTGCCATGACAAGACAAGGCGCGCGCCAATGGGGCCTGTCCATCGACAGCGTTGCAGAGAATACGACCAATGACATGGCAGGGAGCGACGCCGGCACCCAGCTGGGCGCTTAAAATATCGAGCCATCCACCATGATTGGGTTTCTCTCCTGTCCTCCACCAGATTCTGCTAGTGAAGACTCCGAACGGGTACACTCTCCAACCTCTAGGATTCCCAAACAGGTCAGCATGAATGATTGCATTGAAGATGGGGAACCGCAGACGGTGAAGAGTTGCAGACACCGCAAAATCGTAAAGGAACGAAAGCCACGCTAGGCAACACGGCCCCTTGCATTCGTGATCTACAAACCTAGAGATCGACGTAACCCTGGATCCCGTTGATGGTGCAGCCGAGGATCAATGAGAGGAACTGAGGCGGTGTCGTGAAAAGCTCGAATTGTTGGCCTGGGAAAAAAAAAGCAAATCTCGATCGACTGATGTTACCTCTTCCCATTGATCGAATGGGAGCTTTTGGGAATCACTCCACCATGATGTTGAATCGGCGCATTCGGGATACAGTAGAGAGGTCATACTTTGATATTTAGCTTGATCTGCTGGTCGTGTAGTGTAGGTGATGACTTGGTGATGAGAACGCTGGCGCCCCCAGAAACTCCACACTTGGGGTTCATAGTCTCTTCAGCTGTGATTCGACAAATTGTTCACTTTCGACGTGTCCGGACCGCGCATCCGACCATAAGCTAGGTGGCATCCGTATCGGCAGCCAACTCCGCGTCCGATGCGGTGCGGTGTAGGAGGCTGGAAGCCGGCGAGATGTTCATGGGGAAGTGGAAGTGATGCGCACCCGTCTGTGGCAGTGACGGCGGTACATAAAATAGGAAAGATTGCGGCTGCAGTCGGGCTCGGCGGCTATTTCAAAGACGCACAGACCTTCCCCGGACTTTGGAAAGCTTGGCGCTATCAGCTATGGAGCACAATATCAAATCCCCAAGTGGTCTGTGCCTGTTCTCCAACTGGCCCACGTTGTCGTCACGGCAAGGGCCCGGGCCCGGGCAGTGCCTCTCAAATGTGCCCCGCCATGAGATGAAAGAGAAGCCCCGCAACTATCAATCGCGAACGCCCCCAGCAGCGATAAGGAGGGGCAAGTGCAACAACAAGCTATCCCGTCCATGATCCGCTTTCGTTGCATGCCTACATAGTATTCGATCGCCTGGAACGAAACATCACTTTTTTGCGGCGCAACTAGATTTACAAACACTCATTACCAGGCATCACAGAACAGCGACAGAGTTGTAGATTCTATACTCTTGACCCGTACCTCACCCATAGCGCCTATTTCCTCCACAGATCCAGCCATGACCGCACTCGCAGGACGTCATGTTGTTTATTGCGGTGGTAAGTAGTCACATGCAATGCCTGTGCTCTCTTTCAAATCGAACCGCTGCCCTTATATAGAACCTTGCGCTGACTAACCGACTTTTTCCAGTGTGCTCCCTGCCGCCCGAGGTATGATACTATTCCCCTTTACCGTCCATCCGTCCCTCGAAACCCCGACCTGTAGCAAAGATCGACAACTACATACTCACCAACCCATCACCGTCCCCGAATTTTAGTACTGCGAATACGGTGGAACCGTCAAAAAGTGCCAGCAATGGCTCGAGAAGAACCAACCGACCATGTACTCAAGGATATGGTCGCCCGAGGTGCTCGAGGCGGAGATGGCATCGCTGTCAGTCGAGGCGCAGGAGCGCGCCATGAAGGACGCGAAGAAGAAGGCAGCCAAGGCCGAGGCGGCGGAGCAGAAGCAGGCCGACAAGCGCGCCAACAGCGTGGTGACCATTAAGCGCATTGAGCGCAACAAGAGGAAATACGTTACTTCGGTGTCGGGCTTGGAGGCGTTTGGGTTGGAGTTGAAGAAGGTACAGTTATACCGTTGCCCGCAAGCCAAGCTTCCATGCTGGCTAGCTAGCTTGCCTACCTACGGGCTGCTAGCTATACATGTATCATGGTGATGATGCTGGAAGAGCGATCGCTAACTTAATCCCGTTTAACCTGCAATAGGTTGCCAAGGACTTTGGCAAGAAGTTCGCTACCGGCTCTTCGGTAACCAAGGTACCCAGCGGCGGCGAGGAGATTGTCGTCCAGGGCGATGTCAGCGGCGAGATCGAGGAGTTCATTCTCGAAAAGTACAAGGAGGTTCCCGAAGACAACATAGAACTCGTGGAAGACAAGAAGAAGAAGAAGGGCGAAGGAAACTAGATGTTTCGACGTCGACTTTGGTTTTTCAAAAAGGACTGCGGAGGCGCATTTAAACCAGGTGGGATTTAATGATCAAGTTTGGTAAATATTACGAGGCTATTCGGATGGTGGTATTGGCTATTCCGCTTGACATCGAGGGGGGAAAAAGCTTCTGACGCTGTAGCGAAAGACAACAGCGATAAATGATAACATTACTTGGATTTGCCATGTCCCAACTGTTCCCTGAAACCTGCCAGACCTAATAACGCCGAACTCTGTGCAGCCGACACCTGGCGGCGGTCGTAACATCTATACAATCCAACGCCTAACGATAACAATGCTAATCCCACAGTGCACAACCTGGATGGACATCCTCCAAGCCCATATCCCAGCAATGAAAAACCTTGGTGACACTCAATAATTCAAACACAACTTCAAACCCGCTCATCCCCTCTTTCGCAACACCCTCCCCGACACAGCCGGCGCCGCCGTAGTAGCAACCACCTTCTCTGCCGTTTCCTTCGTCCCACCACCCGCCGCCTTCTTCGTCGCGGCCATACCCTTCTTGATCGTGCTAATGACACCTCTCTTCGCACTAGCCGCCGTTCCAGATGCCATGCCCGTCGCCGTCGCCGGTCGCTGTCTCCGCGCCGCCACCGATGACGTACTGCTAGCCTCACTAGACACGCTGGCGCCACTAATTCTCCGCGATGTCCGTGTGGCAGCAGAAGCCGCAGTGGTGGTTGCCGCTCTAGCTCTGGATTTTGCTGCGCTCGCTTGCGTTGCTTCCGTTATTGTTGAGTGCTTCTGGGGGCTGTTTGCTCGCGATCGCGCCTTTTCGACCATGTTGCTGATGAGAGTAGATGCACTCGTGCCGGCTGTGGGTTTGGTTGGGGAGATTGGGCGTGCGCCGATACCGGTCGGATAGTGTTGTTTGGTAGGTGATGGGGTGCGTTCCCCTCGTGGTGCTAGGCGCGAGTTGGAGGATGTGGGCGAGAGGACTTGGTTGGAGTGGTTACGCAAGATGTCGGCTGCTGGGCCGAGACGTTGTCGTTTCTCCGTGTTCATGGGTTCGATTTCGTAATTTTCTTTGTCGCGACCGGAAACTTCGTGGCTAGGGTTGGATGGTGTTAATACTGACGGCGTCCATTTCCCCTGGGAAGAAGAAAAGGGGACTAACCTCGTCGTCTTGATCGGGCTGGGCCGTATCGGGGAGGTAGGTCTAGAAGCAATCGCTGGTCGCTGGAAGATGGGGCGTGATGATGTCGCATCTTTCAGTGGTACCGGGGGGCCGTTAGATGTAGTCGTGGTCTTTTGTTGCTGTTCGGTAGAGTATTTTTGTATGAGATCACCCATCTTCACTTTGCGAAGGGACATGGGAATGCGGTTAACGCGAATTTCGATGCGGGTTCGAAGACTTTGCGCATGGATGTCGTAGTTCGCCCGCAGTTTGCGAGCGCGTTCGGTGACTACACATATGTTAGTCGGCCACGCGCATCGTCACTTGCTTGTTAGGGGGATAAACTTACGCTCGAGTTGCAAGTTGTCAATCAGCGCTTGTTTTTGCGCAGCCGTGATTCCTGTTCGCCTCTTCTTCTTCGCGGGACTTTCGCTGCCAATTGGCCGTCCGTTTTCCGTTGTACTTTTGTCAAGCGACGGCACCGCGAGGCCAGTGTTGTTCTTGTCGTCAGGAACGTCGGCCTCGTCCGACCTGCGTTTCGCGCCGGTGGTTGGAGACATGGTCGCCGTAGATCGAATGATTGTAACTCTGTCAGCTGTGATTTTGGGCTTTTGAGGAGATTGGCGAGGAATCGTTAGCGGAAGAAAGTGTGTACGTTTCAATCGGCGTATTCTTGATGGATGAGCGAGTCGAAGTGTGTTGCAGGTTGAATTGAATGGTACGCTGTGTTGTGAGTGGTTGACATTTCCTGGAGTAAACAAACCAAAGCATTGACCACTCAAGGCTCGTTAGACACACGGGGGGCGTCGTGCTGCAGCAGCTCCAGGTCACTGACATAACGAACTCAGCGGTACGTGCACCTCCACCTGATAGCGTAACAGCAGCTACGCGGGCAGCTAGGCTGAACCGCCTTACGCAGGAGCTCCCCAACCGCTGTCACTGAACATCATCTTTCCATCAGAACACCAACTATCTTTCCCACCAATCCAACCTTTCCCATACCAACCACAAGCAACGCTTCGATTTTCTTAACAAATTGCATATCACAGCAACATTCATCGATAATTCACAGTCGAACAGACACCGACAAGATGCCTCTCGAAGCGGTAATGATTGTGGTGGACAACAGCGAGAGCAGTCGCAATGGAGATTACATACCAACCCGCTACGACGCGCAAGCGGACGCTGTTAACATCATCTTCCAAAACGTCGTACAAGGCAACCCTGAGTCGTCGGTCGGTCTCATGAGCATGGCCGGCAGGGGTCCTGAGGTCCTGGTGACGCTTACAACGGACCAAGGCAAGATTCTCGAGGGTCTGCACCGGACGAAGAAGAACATTCGTGGCTCGGCACAGTTGTCAAGGGCTATCCAGGTGGCGTGGGTATGTGGCATCCCCTCTTGATCTTTCCCCGGAAGTTACAGACAGTTAACTAGCTATTCTACCTACTACAGCTTGCTCTCAAGCACCGACAGAACAAGTCCCAGCGGGGTCGTATCGTCATTTTTGTTTGCTCGCCCATCGAGGAAGAGGAAAGCGACCTCGTCAAGCTTGCCAAGAAGATGAAGAAGAACAACACCAGCGTCGATTTTGTGCTTTTCGGCGACATCGATGACGAGAACCAGAAGAAGCTCGAGGCTTTCAACCGCGAGGTCAAGAGTGGCGAAGGATCCAACATGGTCGTCATCCCACCGAGCAGCAAGCTTCTTAGCGACCAGCTCATCTCGACACCTATCCTCCTCGGCGAGGCTGCTGCTGGCGGTAGCGGAGGCGCTGGTGGCGATGCTGGCGGCGCGGCCAACGAGGACTTCCCCTTCGGCATCGATCCATCCGTCGACCCCGAGCTGGCCCTTGCGTTGAGAATGAGTATGGAGGAAGAGAAGGCACGCCAGGAGAAGCGCGCCAAGGAGGAGGCCGAGGCGGCGAAAAAGGCGAGCTTGGAGGACGTCAAGGAAGAGGCTGGCGAGTCGGAACCATTGCTAGGCAAGGACGGCGAACCGAGCGGCAGCGGCAGCAAAAAGGATGATGACAAGCCCGGCAAATCAGATGATGGCGACAAGATGGATACCTCCTAGTCGACTCATTGTTGGCGGGTTGAGATTATGAGTGATGGCGCTTTGCAAGGGACAACTACCATGGGCGCTGGCTGTATTTGTGTACAATAGACTCGCCATGGTATTACATGGGCAACTACCTACCGCCCATCTTTTGAGCATGAAGCTATTCTATCATGACCCTTTGACCGCCCGCCCAACCATTTCCAAAAGACAAACGCCACGTAACTCCGTTTGACAGACATGACATGATAACTTGATACCATTCCTCACCCCTTCTCTTTCTGATCCCTCGTGCTGTGGAACCCCACTCACTATCACTACCTGTTGTTAACCTCCCTGATATACGACAACAGCTTCCGGTCAAACATGTCGCACCGGATCGGCATTTCGAGTTGGTAAAAAGGGTTCTTCATGACGTAATCCGAGTAGAGGTCGTAGATGCGCCTGATGATGACGTCCACGTTTGTCTGCGTCGTGTCGGTAAACAATAAAAACTTGACCCCTGTCAGCGTGTTGAAGCACTGCAGCCGGAAGTTCTCCGACTCGAGCACCTCCAGACCCGAAGGCGGTTCCGGCCGCGTCAGGATCCCGCCTGGCACGCCGGGGATGCTGTTGGATAGAGGCCGCTCCGGAGCGGACTTGACGGGGTTTAGACGGGCTGTAATTGCGTGAACGCTTTTTTGGGGTTGGAAAGGCCGTGTTAGCATTGAGCGAAAGATATTGAATTTGTGGTATGTGAGTAAGATATTAGCATACCCGTGAAAGGTTCCGGCCAGGACGAGGTAGTCGTTGGTGCTGATCTTGTTCAGGCCACCTTCGTGAAACGTCCTGTTATAGATTAGGCCACCGGCCTTGTTGATGATGACGAGGGAGAATACGGTCCTGAAGTATGTGTCAATATCATGTCTGGTGTATGATGATGTTGGTGGACAGAAACTCACATGGTGATGGCCTCATCTCATGTGAAACGTTGACACGGCGATTGCAGTAATAAAGGGCGGAATGAAGGTTGACCCAGCGCGACAACTTGCGTGGTCAACTCAAATGCTTATCGGGGGAATGTTGCTGGTTGCAAGACTCGATATCGTCGGGTTGTTTCCTGAAAACCCGTTTTCAAAGGAAGTACTACAAGGATGCTATAAGTGAACCTTTCTTCTTGAGAAGGTTGCCGTGTCGCTGCCTCCTGGGCGGGATACGGGATGGAAGTGGCCAGGGTTTAGATGAGTGGGCAAAATGGAAGGACATGGGGGTTAGGGTTATTGTAGTGAGCTATCCCAACTTGAACTGTTCCATCACTTTGGAACCTGCACGGCGGGTACCTTGATGACTGGTCCCTGATTTATTTGGTGTACAATAGCTAGGGGGCGTCAGGAAATTCACAAACAGCCCAGTTTTGCTAAATGAACTTGACTGTTCCACACATATATCTAGAGGTAAACTTCTCATTTCTCATGGCGCGTACTCGGTAAAGTGAACAAGTGCTTGTCTGTGACAGATCCTATCCTGCGGTCCGTTGGCTCCAGCTGCATTGTACCCGTCTCTCTGCACGCGCGGTGTCGATTAATTACCTAAAGGTATATCATCCAATTCCGTACCTAGATCTGGGCATGCAAGCCGACCCGACTTAAGGTCAAAACAAGATGAGACGGGATCTCGGAAACTGCCCAAACATCGGCCACATGATAACGCAGGGCATCTCTACTGCGGGCGTGAACAATCTCGAGCTGGTGAATGAAGGTTAAGGGTCTCGGCGGAGACAAGTTAAGAACAGTCAAGAGTGTGATCCTGGCTCGGCAGATGTCAAGCCATCCGACCATCGATCCCCATCTTCACATTCCCGTCCCGCCCGGACGCTGGCCCTGCGAATTTTAGTGGACCGAAATGCCTGGATCAGTGGACAAGTCGGTTTCAGCTGAAGCTCGTGCTGGTGCTGTCCCGGTGGAAATGGTGGGTCAAGCCAGCCGAATCTGCTTGAAACTGCCACGGGCAGATCTCCACCATTCCGAATTGTGGCCACATGGAAGTTTGAAAAAGGTAACGTTGGACCAATTCCAGCGAATGGAATTCTGGCGCGACGTCGGGTCGCCTTGGAGCTTTGAGCCTGGAAATTCCATCTAGTTGATGTCGAGCCCACTTGGTTGCTTCTGCTTGCTGCCAGCCCCGACGCAAGGTTCCGAACTAATCGAGTGTACACATTTCTTCCGTCGCGTCCTTCTTCATCCTGTCCGAAATATCATCACCTGTTTCTCCCTTTGACCTTGTCACCTTCCTACATACGCTTGCTTTTCTTGGGAAGCTCTGGCCCAACCTCAAGGGTTCGAAGACGTCGGGGGACCACCTACCTTACCCAACGACTACCGGTACCCGACTCGACTGACGTTCCCTGTCTGCCCCGCCATCAGACGAACAAGTTGCTTGCTTCGGACACAGGCCGATTTGAACTATTTCCAGGCTGCCCAAAAAGACATCACGACCAACAACAACCCGAATCTTGCCTACGTACCTATATACATTGCCGACTGCGCCCCCCTTGGCAGCTCACTCCGTCGCCCCCAACTCTCCAGTAGCGGCTTTATGTCCCGACTTGCCCATTCGCCATGGCCGCCTCACGTCGGCGTCAGGCGCCTAAACAGCAGCACACTTCGGTAAACAGCAACAAGAACCGCGACGACCGAGGTTCCATTGTGTCGGAACCTTCGCCCCGTGTCATCAATGCTGCTCCGTCTCTCGAAAAGGCTGAAATGTACGGAATTGACGACAACCGTCCGTTCTTCAGCCGCGCCATGGCCCTGGCTGGGCGCATGTTTATCGAGACAATTCCGCACTGGATAGCTGTAGGAGTTATGCTCTCGCTCATCTTTGGCGGGTGCTGTTCCAATGTCTTTGCGCTTGAGTCCATTATCAAAGTTGAGCCTGGTGCCGGTACGTTGCTATTAGCCATCTTTAGCCAAATCGGCTTCGCATTGCTTGCAAACCGGATATCACGGATACGAGAACATGGAGCTAACGATCTCCCAACATTCGCAGGTACACTCTTGACCTTTGTCCAATTTCTCTTCGTTGCCCTCGTCGGCCTACCTTCCCAGATCGACTGGAGCCGTCCGCCCTTCTTCCTCAAGAAAAACCAAGTTCCGATTAAACGATGGCTGATCAATATCGCGCTATTCTTTGCCATCAATGTCCTCAATAACCATGCTTTTAGCTACGACATTTCGGTGCCCGTACATATTATCCTGCGCTCGGGAGGAAGCATAACCACAATGATTGCTGGAGCTTTGTGGGGCAAGAGATATTCAAGAATCCAGATTGTAGCCGTACTCCTCCTTACCGTGGGTGTGATTGCGGCGGCCTGGTCTGACGCACAGAGCAAGGTGCGCTTCCCAACAATGTAGTGGATATCCATGCAGGATACGGATACTGACAGAATTTCCAGGGATCGAGCAAGAAAGAGACTCATGAGAAGAACTCGGATTTTGGCATTGGACTTGCAATTCTCTTCGTTGCCCAGAGCTTGTCGGCTGTCATGGGCCTTTACACGGAAGAAACTTACAAGAAATATGGCCCGCACTGGAAGGAGAACCTCTTCTATTCGCATCTCCTGTCCTTGCCCCTGTTTCTGTTTTTCTGGCCGTCGTTGACGACGCAATTTCAGAAACTGGCCAACAGTGCGCCCTTGACTCTACCGCTGCCGGACTTTGAGGAGTACCCCAATCTATCGCCCAACATCCAGAAGTTCCTGGAGAATATTCACATTCCCAGTCAACTGTTTTATCTGGCGCTGAACGTCCTGACCCAGTATGCTTGCATCCGCGGAGTCAATCTTTTGGCAGCTGCCTCGACTGCGTTGACAGTCACCATCGTCCTCAACATCCGGAAGCTTGTCAGTCTGCTGTTGAGCATATGGCTGTTCGGGAATAAGCTGGCGTTTGGAACCTTGGTGGGAGCCGTGATAGTGTTCGGCGCTGGCGGGCTGTACTCGCTGGATGGGAAGAAGAAGGCTCCGGTCCGGAGGGACTCGTCCGCGCCGCTCAAAAAGGCATGATCCGCTTCGGGGTTGATTTGTTGTGACGCTGGAAATTTAGTTGATACTTCGATAGCAGCCGGGATAACCGTGTCCGACTGACAGTTTGGAATGAAACTCGGATTCTTGTCGGATACTGGAGGTAACCGGGGTGCCAGCCTAGTACCTTACGTAAGTTGGCATCCCTGGCAACCTTCTAATACTAGATTTTCTATACGAGGGATTAACCTAATATAGAGATCTACACAATATATAGTCTATACCCTCTATTCAATTAATACCCCTACTCGTACTTGTATTTTATAATTAAGAGTCTTATATGCAATAATTACCGGTTAAAGTAACCCGGGCAAATATAGTATAGTAATTACCTATTAAAGTAAATAAAGTAATACGACGCAATAATATTTATCGATCTTAAGATTATTAGCGAAATTATCCTTAATAAATCCGAAGATTAATATCTTTAGGAAAAAGGATTTAAAAATAAGGCTTTTAATAAGGAGCTTTAGTCTTTTATTAACCCGGATCTCAAAAAGTGAATCCTTTAGCCTGCTACTCCTATTAAACTATTGGTTACTAATTTTTAAAAACCCCCTAAGGATATTTAAATCTAGTAATAGATTTTTAATACTATAAAGGTAGATAATAGTCCCCTAATAATTAATACCTAGCTATTTTAAACTACCTAATTAATTATAATCCTAGTTCGGACCCTAATATTTATTTAAACTCCTACTAGTCCGCCTATAAAAGTTTTCTTTACCGCTAAACGCCTAAATTTTATATTTAAATCCAATTTCCGTAACTATAAAGTTACCCTAACCGACTATTACTATAAAAAGAAAGACTAAAATAAATTTATTACTAATATTAATAATATTAAGAATTGGATAAAGAAGTATATTATTAAAAAGCTTTATTTAATTTACTTCCTAAAAACCGAAACTATTACTATTTAGTATAATAAATTATATATGTCGATTAATTATAATTTAATAAAAGTTAGAAATAATATTTATACTAAATATTAAAAAAAGGTCTGCCTTATTTATACTTTAAAGAGTTGAACTACCTAATTTAAAAAGTAGAAAGAAATTATAATTATTAATTAATACTATAATATCGATAAATATATTAATTTAGAGAATTAGTATTAAAAGTTCCTCTATATAGTAAGTAAATTCCTTAGGTCCTTACTTATTACCCTAATTATAGTATATCGCTAAATTAAAAATAATAAATTTTATACTTTTATAAATATAGCCTAGGAATTTAAATAGGAGGTCTTTAAAGCGTTTTTATTAAATAAAAGTTACTTCCAAATTTATAAAGGTAATATATTTAGAGTAGTAATTATATATACCAAATTTAGTAGGGACGTTCTTAATAACCCCCGGAATAATAAAAGTAAAAAGCCGGCTAGTAATTATTAAAATCGTTAAAATTATAATAAACGGTCGAAGAGGGCTTACTCTATATATAAATGTATAGGTTATAAGTTTAAATACTATTAGTATATTAATATAGTAAACCAATTAGATAATTTTAAAGAAAACTACTATATACGTAAGCGGGTTAATAAGAATTATTAAAAAAACTCTAAATTAGTAAAAAAGATTAAAGAATTCTTAAAAAATATTAAAATTAATAAATCTTATTAAAATAACGTTAATAACTTTTAATTTTATAGCCGGCGGATTGGTAATATATATTATAAAGCGAATTTTTTAATACTAAAACCCTATAAGGATAGATTAAAATACCTACTAAAGGACTTAATAATTTTTAATTTAAATATAATAATTTATATCTTTAATAAGGCCGGTCGGTTTAAAGGTTTTAAACCTACAAAAAAAGGAGATTATATTTAGACGGGAAATATATTTATTATAATTGAAGGATATAGTTCAATTTACCTAATATTAAATACTAACGAGGGCTACTCTATTAGTTTTAGATTTAATAATAATGTACTTATACCTAGGATAGCGTATAATTCAATATTTTTAAGAAAGTAATTAGAAAAGGGATTATATTAGGATTAATCTTTTAATTTAAAGTACCTTTACTTCCGTTTAAATAATAGCTATTTATACTATCTCTCTTTAAAGTTTAATTAATTTATATTAAAATATATACCCTTTAAAATACGTACTAACTAATCCTCTTTTTATATATAATTTCACCGGTTTATTAGTAAGACCGCTAGGTAGCCTTAAGAGGGCAATACTTTATATTAGTACCTTCGCCTTAATTACCTAAAATTAAAAACCTTAGCCCAACTAATAAATAAAAAATATAAGGTATATTTAAAAGGCCCCAATCTCGTTTACTATAATTCTTATATAGCAATTAAAATAAAATATTAAATATATAAAGAAGTCTATAATACGTTAAAAGGTCCTAATCTCTTTCTTACTATTAATTTCTTTAATTATCCCCTAATTAAAGTGCCCAATAGAAGTATAGTATTAAATTTAATAATTATTATAAATCGTTAGTTCGGGAAGGTATAATTATATTATTTACTAAATTGGATAGTAAATTCAATTATTGCTATACTAATATCGTTATTTAACGGTTTTAAACTTTATTATTAAATCTAATTAAGGGTAATTGAATATAATAATAAAATAATTATAAATAAACCCTATATTACTACCTTCTTAATTAAATGTAGTACAATTTTCGAACCTTCGGTTTTATATATTTAAATATAGAATAACGGTACCGAATATTTAAGGGGTATAATTAGGGAAAAGTCGGCGGTAATAAAAGAATTAATAAATTTACTATAAAAGCTCTAGAGAGAAATAATAATAGTAGTAATATATTTATTAAACCTAATTTTATAATAGGAATTTAATTAAAAGTCCCTAGAAGAACGCTTTACTACGTATATAATTAATTATAATAGTAATTAATAAAAGTTAGTACTATAATTATCCTACCTTAAAATTTATAATTATAAAGTATTTATATTTATAGTTAATATCCTATATAGTTAAAAGCGGACCCAAAAGCTCAAATAACGTACTTAGGTTAGGTATTTAATCAGTTACTAATTTAATAATATTTATTATATTTAAAATCCGTATATAAACTAAATTATTATAATAAGAAATATAATCTTTAATAAGAATAAGTTTTTATAAATATAATCGAAGAATTCTATAATACTTTCAATATCTCCCTTAAAGAATTAGCCGTATAATTAAATAGTATTTATTAATTAAAATTTAATATATCCAACCTATTACTAATTAGAAGTATTAAAATAAAGGATAAGAAGGCTAATTTAGTTATTAAATCCTTACCCGCTATTAATAGTATTATAATTTCCGAACCAACTGAATTTATATATATATAAAAAGAAGAATAATATTAAAAGGGTATTAGAATTCTAATATTAGAATTATAACTATAAGACAATTAATAGGCAATAATAATAAATAAAAAGGAAATAAAGTATTTTACTCCCTTAGAAAGTCTAATATTATTTTTTATTGATAGTCTTAATATATTATACTCCTAATAAAGCTAATTAATATATAATAAGTATTTCTATTAGGTCGGGTCCTTTTTGATTACTTTAAATAAAATAAATATTAAGTTATATAATAGACGGCCTATTAATAAAGAAACCTTTAACCGGTTAAAACATATAATTATTAGTAAAAAGTGAGAAGGAAAAAAGTTCTTTAATAATTTAAAATTAATTAAAAATATTATAAATCGTTATAACAATTTTAATATTTTAACTAATTTCTACCAACGAAAATTCCCTCCTCCCCCTTAAGTTTATAAAAACTTTAATTATTATCCGTTTAGTAATTTCTTTTATAAAATAGAACGAAAATATATAAAAGATTATAAAAAGAAAAAATTATAAGTGTAAATTAATAAGGACAAATAATATACTAATAAAATTATTGAATTATTTAATTTAATATAGGTATATATATATAAATTTAATATAGAAGGGTATTACTTTAAATATAAAGTTCGTTTAATAGTTCGAAGAAATTAATAATTATATAATAATATACGAGAAATGTACGCTATTATATTTATAATCCGATTATTTAGGATTATAATAGTTATTACCGCCTATTTTAATCTTAAATTTAAATAGTATAATACGGTTAATACTTTTATTAATATAATATTAAACAAGATTATTTATATAAAGCTACTATATAATTAAGAGCGCGAGGATAAAGTATTAAAGTTACTATATACGCTATACGGATTATAGCGCTCTCTATTACTTTAGTAAAAAGAATTTACTAAAACTCTTATAAAAGCCGGCCTTACTCCTATCCCTATAGAACCGTATATACTAATTAAAGAGAATATAATCGTTTTCTATTATATTAATAATATTATCCTTACTTATAAATTAAAATACTTATAATTAGTAAAGGGAATAAATATTACTCTTAAACAATATTACTAATTAATTAATAATTAAAATATTTAATAATTCTTAAATATTAAAATTATTCGAAACCGTCCGTAACGCCTACTTTAATTATCCTAATAAAAATATATTCTTAAAATAACTAAAGGAATTAAATAGAGGAAGAAACCCCCTAATACCCCTATAATAATTAAAAAATTTATTTTTTAGCCTTAATCCTCTATTTAATACGCAATTAAATTATATTAATAAATAAATAGTATAGTTATATATTTCTTTATTATTATTAGACCTAATATTACTTTTATACTATTCTAATTAATTCGCTTCCTAATTAACCCTAAATTAATTTATTATTTAGTAATCGAACGAATAAAAGCGTACCTTCGTAGGACTAATTATTATACCTTCCAATTAAAAGGAAGTAATAAATTTAAAATCTATATTAATACATTGTTTATCAATAATATTAATAATTAAAGAAGTTTATAAAGGTTTGTAATATAACTACTTAATAGTATAATCAATTAGTATATTAATAAGTAAAATATTATTATTCTTTTAATAATTAAAGTAGAATTATTATTCTTTATTTAAAGAGTAAAGAAAGGTATATAGGTAAAGAAGCTCTTTAATACTCTTACCCTTCGATTAAGAATTGAAATTATCCCCCTCGGTTTTAATAATAAATAAATAATACGCTTTATTACTAAAGAGAATTCTAAACTCCAACCTAAATTCAAGTATATCGATATTTATAATTACTAATTTAGAGAAATTCAATAGTATAATATTATTAATATATACTATATCCCTACTAATAAAATAATTACTAATAGATTTATTAAAGCGCTCGATATACGTAAATATTAAGAATTTATAAAGCAATTCAATATAATAAATATTAAAGAAAAATAAAGAGAGAGGAGGAAGCTAATAATAATAGAAGCGAACTATTTAATTATAATTAATAAAGAGGATTAATTAGAGAAAGTAATTAAGGAATAAAAATATAGGTTAGGATTATTATAAATATAAATTACCTTCCTATACTATACGGCTAAAATAACCTCTAAAAATAAAAAGTATTAATATAGTAATTTAATTATATAAGGAGGAAAAAGTCAAAAAGTTTAGTCCTAGTAGGATTTGAACCTACGATTTTTAGGTATATTATTTAAAGATAATCCGTTAATTATATTAATCAATATATTTAAAAAATAGTAGGCGGATAATTAAGAATAATACCCCGATACTTTAATTACTAAGTTATAGGATTAGGTAGTTTTATTATTAAAAATAGTACTATTAACCTTCCCTATTAATAGAAAAATAATAGTAAATAATACCTTCAAAAGTAATTATTAAAAAAGAGATAGAAAGGGTATAGAATCTATAAATAGTTTTAAAGACGATAGCCTCCTTAAATTCCAGTTCAGCTAGGGGGGTATGTCGGATATTAGAGGTAATCGGGGTACTAGCCCAGTACCTTACGTAAGTTAGCATCCCTAGCAACCTTCTAATACTAAATTTTCCATGTAAGGGATTAACCTAATATAGAGATCTATATAATACACAGTCTACACCCTCTACTCAATTAACACCCCTGCTCGTGCTCGTATTCTACAATTCTGCACCGATCCTAGGGTTCGATGTCTGCTTTTAGGTAATAGTTTGACTGTTTGTTGCCGGAAGTGACCGAGAATAAGGGCCGGAACCGCCCTATTGATAAATATTCAGGGGTCTGTCTCCAGGAGCCACCTTGCGCCCTTGCAGCGGTAGGGTCAGAATGCAAGCAGTTCCTTTTTACGGGCGGTCCTTCTGTCAGGCGCAGTGGGTGCAGAAATGGGGCCGAAAGAGACCGCAGGGAGCTTGTTAGTGGTCCATCGACGGGAGACACCCCTGCAACTCTGCAAGAGCCTTATGGTGGGGTTGCGATGCGTCATCCGACGCGGCAGATGAAAGATCCCGTTCGCTTCTTGGTGCCCGTGGTTTTGGTAACCCAAGAGTTTAAACCACCTTTGTGTGGCAGGGCAGTTATAGGCCTATCTCCGTATCGGACTATCAGTCTTGATCAGAGTTTGGAGGGGTTTTGGTCTGGGCGTTTGATTCTGATAGTCAATCTTCTCTGTAGTCCTCTCTCCAGATTTGAACCCAACATAAACCTAAACACTACACCAAAGAACAGCACCAACACAAGCACAAGTCCAGTACCTTGCCAAAGGTCGTCACCCGTCGTATACGTCGGACAACAAGCAAACAGGTAAAGCTGTGACTGTGCCCAAAGACGACAACGGCCAATCGCTGTTTGGGGCTTCCATCCAGCGGGGAAAATCTGCAAACCTGCCCCTCGCTGTCATCACCATCCTTCCGCTGTGCACACCCGACTACAGCAGCAACGATTCACTTTCGCTTTGCGCTTTTAGACTGCTACTATGTGTGGTGGTAAGTTGCAGGAACCACAGCGTCCCCCGCACTGATCCCGTCCTTGACCACTGTCCTCTCCAATGCCTCCATGATCGTGGTCTGATGATCTCCTGCTAGGACCCTCCCCATACGCGCGCGACACCCAGTCGTCAAGCCCGACGTCTCCCAGCTTCGCGGCTAGCCACCTACCGGCTCGCGATTCCGACGATGAAGAGTACAATGCTCATGAAACGAGTGACACAGAGTTCGACAACACCATCGAGCATGACCACCTTGGCAGCAGGCCTGGCAGCGCTGGTAGCCACGGCGACCTGGCCAACAACGGGAACCACTCGACAGACGCAGAGATTGAAGAGGGCATGCTTCTCAGAGATATGCCCAAAAAGACGACATTCTACGACGCCGTAACCGAGCGCCAGATGACTCAGACAGACGCCAAGCTGTTCTATCAACGAAGCCAGGTCGAGAGAAACCAGATTCCTACAGACGGCCACGCTACTCCCACTGGCAGCCCATTCATCGCGCCAGGCCACGGTCACGGCGCTGGAACAAGGCACATCCCTACGGACTCTTCCCAGAGCGCCATCCTGTCTCCCGAGTCCACGATGGGCACCGGGCTTAAGGCCGGCCCTGCCAATGATCCTCTGATCGAGGCCTCGCTACGGCAAAAGATGCCGAGACTGTCTGGCAGCTATAGTCATACTCGGACTGTTACCGGCAGCTCGCCATTGCCGGGGAGGATGAACCAGGCTGCTCAGCGGGAGACGTTGCTGAACACTGGCATGGTCTCTGGTATTGGAAGCAGTACTTATATGGACACAGACCCTCAGATCACTGCTGAGCTTACCGGCATCTTTCAGGGCGTTCAGAAGATCATTGATCTTCGGCAAAAGTACATCAATCTGTCTCTCCAAGGGCCGCATGATAACCCTAAGGATGATCCTAGCTGGGTCATCTATCCTCCTCCCCCGGGCCCGGCTTGGAGCGCAGGAAACAGCCTAGCGAACAGCATGATACTGAATAACGACAAGCACGAAGGGTCCTCTGGCACCCCATACAAGTGGACGGGTAAGAGGCGCAAACCTGGGCAGGATATTGGCGAGGATTTTGTGCTTGAGGACTTGTTGCCTGTGCCTGGTTCGGATGACTTTACGTATAAACTGGATGAAAATGGTGTTTACCAGATCTACAGCAACGACCAGGACAAAGAGGCCGATCAGCCAGCTATCAAGATCCCAACCTTGAGGGAGTATTACTTGGATCTGGAAGCCATCCTGTTCGTCTCCTCGGACGGACCTAGCAAGAGCTTTGCCTTCAGACGTCTTCAGTACCTCGAGAAGCGGTTCGATCTTTATGTGCTTTTGGAAGGATACGATGAGACGGCCGACTGCAAGAAGGTGCCCCATCGTGATTTCTATAACGTCAGAAAGGTTGACACCCACGTTCACCACTCGGCCTGCATGAACCAGAAGCATCTCTTGCGTTTTATCAAGAGTAAGATCAAGAAGTATCCGGACGAGATTGTGCTTTACAGAGATGGCAAGTACCTGACACTAGCGGAGGTATTCGAGAGTCTCAACCTCACAGCCTACGATCTCAGTATCGACACGCTGGATATGCATGCTCACACGGATTCGTTCCACCGCTTCGACAAGTTCAACCTCAAGTATAACCCAATCGGCGAGTCGCGTTTGCGTACCATCTTTCTCAAGACCGATAACTTTATCAACGGACGCTACCTGGCCGAAATCACCAAGGAAGTCATTGCGGATCTGGAGTCTAGCAAATACCAGATGGTTGAGTGGCGTGTGTCCATCTACGGCAAGTCCCTCGATGAGTGGGACAAGCTTGCCAGCTGGGTTGTCGACAACAAGCTGTTCTCTCACAACGTCCGCTGGCTCGTCCAGATTCCTCGCCTTTACGATGTCTACAAAGCTAGTGGCGGCGTAAACACGTTTGAGGAAATTGTCAGGAACATCTTCGAGCCCTTGTTCGAGGTCACTAAGGATCCCTCCAGCCACCCCAAGCTGCACATCTTCTTGCAGAGAGTCATTGGTTTGGACAGTGTCGACGATGAAAGCAAGGTCGAGCGACGACTGTTTAGGAAGTTTCCCGTCCCTAAGATCTGGGACGGCAAGCAGAACCCTCCTTACAGCTACTGGATCTATTACCTGTATGCGAACATGGCCTCGCTTAACCATTGGCGCAAGAGGCGTGGGTTCAACACTTTTGTCCTCCGTCCCCATTGCGGTGAAGCGGGTGACAGCGAGCATCTTGCCGTTGCTGCTTTGTGCTGCCACAGCATCAGCCACGGTCTTCTCTTGCGCAAGGTTCCTGTCTTGCAATACGTCTTTTACCTTGAAAAAATTGGTATTGCCATGTCGCCATTGAGCAACAACGCGTTGTTCTTGGCATACGAGAGAAACCCGATGCACCAATACTTCAAACGTGGCCTCAACGTGTCGCTCTCCACGGATGATCCTCTCCAGTTTGCATTCACCAAGGAGCCGCTTATCGAGGAGTATGCGGTGGCGGCGCAGATCTACAAGCTCAGCCCGGTGGATATGTGCGAGCTTGCAAAGAACTCTGTGAAGCAGAGTGGTTACGAGCGTTCGATCAAGGAGCAGTGGCTGGGCAAGAACTTTGACTTGCCAGGAGCCCAGGGCAATACCATGGTCAAGACCAACGTGCCTGACCGCAGAGAGGAGTTCCGCTATAGAACTCTACTTGAGGAAAGGGGAATGTAAGTTTATATACTTCTGTCGAGCTGTTGAACGACTGCTGACAAGTGAATGAACACAGGGTTGAAAGATACAATGCCCTCGCAGCCGAATCGGCGGCAGCTGTTGCCCAAGCAGCCCCCAAATCTCCCGCACCGCCTGCGAAGGCTAGCATTGGGGAGGCGAAGACATTGCTCAACACCAGCACTTTGCAGCCCGCTCCGCACGGGGGAACCGACTCCCTTTCACAGTCCCAGACCCTTCCCAGCCCCATGCAGCAGTCGCCTCAGCTGGGACTCCCCAGTGCCGCCCTCGAAGGAACAGGAACCGCCACTGGCCTCACCGACTCGATGAGGGAGCTGCATCTCCCCGAGCATGAACCTAGGTATTTCCCCGGGGTGATGTCGCGCAGCCAGGGGCGCAAGACCAGCACCCGACAGAGTTCGTTGCATGAGAGCGATGCCAAGCCGTAGGTGGCTGACATCACCTCATCTGGCGAATTCGTCGGCGAGGTGGAGGTGATGAGAAGGAAGGACACACCGAGCGTGATTGTGATGGAGGATTATATGGAGGACATGCAGCCTCCAGAAGCTACGGTGGGGATGGCGCAGGAAGTGGGGAGTACGCCTGTGCAAGACTGTCCTGACTGTTTGGAGGTGGTATGTGAGTGAGTGAGTGAAGGGCGTCTTCGTTGAAGATATCTAGACATTGGGCCATTCTGGGTCTGGACTGGCTGGGTAATGCAAGTGGTACTGGTATCTGGAGTCACGCTATATAGACTTGACAGAATTTTGAACCGAGTTCAGAGGGTGATATCATCGCTATAGGTATAATCTACGTTGAACTGGCGTTTCGACTTTTGGTCAGGTTATCTCCACCAAGAAAAAGGGGGTCGACAATAGTTGCTACTAGCTGGTATTGATGATTACGTTACCGTACGCGAGGGAGTTACGACGAAACAAATGCAATTCAGGGGGCGTATAAATAACATCGACACCCGCTGAACGGCTCCCATATCCAGCGGACCCCCGACCTGAAATGAACGATCCACCAGGCGCCCAAATGTCAAGAGGGAAAACCCGGGATATGACGCTATCTACACGTGCGGTTACAGTAGATCGCTGATGAATGCCCGGGTTTGCCGGTCGGGACCAGCTGGCTGCTATTTCTTGATTGATTGATGGGAGAGTTGGGCGTGAAGAAGAGCCCAAGTTGACTGTCACAATCAAGCCACAATTACGGCCAATCAACACTTTTGTAACAAAGTGAAAGTTGCGCTTTCGAGGTATTCAGTTGCTATGCCGTACCGGAAGCGCTCGAGATGCAGCTGGGCTGTGCTTGCTCCTGCACGATCTCACTCTTTCGGGTTCAATTTGGACAATAATCTTTCGTTCCTGCGCCAGTGCCTTGCTTCGACGTTGTCGGTCGGTCATTGGGGTTGGATTGAACCATCGAGATGCGCTGCAGCTATTCCAAATAAAAGGTAGGTACATACACCTCCAGCGCTGGGAGGTTACGTACCTGTTCTTGGGGTTTCAAATTGTAAGGTACGAACAAGGTGTTCATTTGTCCTCGGGTCAATGCACTTCCTACCTACGCTTGATTTGATCTCGAAAGGATCTTCCGTGGACCTTGCAATTACATAAACATACATTTTGGTGATAGCATCCATGAAAGACTATCGCGGCGCCTTCGCGACCGCTTCGTTGCATCGTTCAATTCCCCCAAGTTCAGCGACCCCCCCGAACACACCCCCCCGGACCGGCTCCTTTAAACGAGCACTTGGGTCCACGACTTGGACATAGAGTAATTTCCAACGTCTCCCTTGGCTCGACCATTTCGACCGCAACTTCAAACTCTTGATCACGATAAAGGTCAAATTCCTCGCAGGGTCACCGCAGCCGCGCGTGCTCGCTGTCGTCGACATCTTCCCGACGTTGCCTCGCTCGAAATTACAGGCTATCCGTAGGTACCATACAGGAGGGCTTTGGCCGGCCGCAATCCTACGTGCAGGAAGCGGGCATACCTACAGTGCTTGCTTCAGCGGCTACCCCTTGCTTCAGGAGCACCCGTACACTCTAGAAGAGCTTCCATCCTCGTTCATCTGCCCGGCAGCCGCAGCGCCGCACCCCCGTCACCCGTCACCAACCCAGCGTCACCCGCTCTCACACGCTGCCGCCGCCGCCGCCGCCGCCGCTCGCTCCTTGTTTCCATTTCCTACCGGACGCACACACACCCCCCCCCCCCTTCCCCGGCAGAACCAAGACTTGTGATACCACCACCAGCCACCATTCGCACCACAGCGCCTTTCGTTTTCCCCAATCCCTTTCTTCGTAACAGCAACTCCCTTGCGTCGGTTCATGTCGGCTGCCATCCAAAGGGCATCATACGAGCAGATTTCCCGCAGCAGCCATGGGCTTCCTCGGCGTCTATAGGGCCATTTACGATTACACGCCCCAGGGCGAGGGCGAGTTGACAATCTCCGAGGGCGACATTCTCTATGTGTTGGAAAAGAGTCAGGAGGACGATTGGTGGAAGGCGAAGAAGAAGGCCAATGCCGCCGACGATGACGAGCCCGTCGGCTTGATCCCCAACAACTACATTGAGGAGGTATGTAATGTGGTCTGAGGTCTAGATGGATTGCGTGCAGTGTCATCGGGTTACTTGTACTTGGATAGCAAGCTGGCTGGCCTTGGCATTCAGATGGATCACTTGAACTGACCGCGCACACCATGACGCCAGGCGAAACCCGTATCATACGCTCGCGCTCTCTACGAGTACACGCGTCAGACCGACGAAGAGCTCTCCTTCCCCGAGGATGCGCAGCTCTCAGTCTTCGACACTTCCGACCCCGATTGGATCCTTGTTGGCCACGATGGCAACTACGGCTTCGCGCCCGCCAACTACATCGAGTTGGGCGATGGCCAGGCTGGCCAGGTCGAGGAGGAGGAAGAAGCGACTGCCCCCCCTCCGCCTCTTCCGCAGAGGACACCCAGCGTCAGCGTCGATGTAGCCAGCCCGCCCCTGCCCGCCAGGAGTGTGCCCTCCGAGCCAAGCACCCCTGTCGCCGCTTCCAACCCTGCTGCCGCCGCCATCGCCGGAGTTATGGCCAACCGCTCTTCTTTCCAACCTCCAGCGCCCATCAGTGTTCCCCTGCCCCAGCGACAGTCATACGCTTCGGAAGATTATGAAAATGAGGTAAGGTCCCCGCCGCTTCCGAGCCGCCCGCGGGGCGATTCGCAAATTGCTCCGGAGCAAAAATCCTACAGACCGGTGCCGCCGCCCGCTCAGTCGGCAGCCCACGACACCGACGACTATGGCATTAGCCCGCGAACCTCCCAGGCTCCTCCTCCTCAGACCGCCGCGCTTACCCCTGGCGGTTTCCACATGTACAACATCAACGAGATGACGTCGGTGATGGGCAAGAAGAAGAAGATGCCCACCACGCTGGGCATCAACCTGAGGACGGGAATGATTCTCATAGCACCGGAACACTCCCACGACGGTCCATCGCAGGAATGGCGGGCCGATTGCATGACACACTACTCTCGGGAGGGCAAGCACGTGTTTATGGAGCTTGTGCGACCAAGCAAGAGCGTTGACTTTCATGCGGGCGCCAAGGACACCGCTGAAGAGATCGTCGCGATGCTGGGCGACATGGCCGGAACTGTGCGCCTCGAGGGACTCAAGGAGATCATTGCCGCGGGAGCCGGAGGCAAAAAGAAGAAGGGTGCTGTGCTGTATGATTTTATGGCTCAGGGTGAGGACGAGGTTACTGTCGGCGTTGGTGATGAGGTGGTTATTCTCGACGATACCAAGAGTGACGAGTGGTGGATGGTGCGTCGCATCAAGAACGGCAAGGAGGGCGTGGTTCCCAGCAGCTACATTGAGATCAACGGCGTGTGGGAAGAGCCGGAGACGGCCATTTCCGGTATTGCTGTGGGCATGTCGGAAGTCGAGAAGAATCGCCTGGAAGAGGCGCGCTTGACCAAGGAGGCTATCAAGGCTGCCCAGCGCGAGGAAGAGAAGGAGAAGCAGAAGAGGAACTCTGAGGTAGGCCCAGGATTGCAATTGCAAGAACGAAGTAGTAGTTTGCCGGCCACAGATGATAACAGGAGAGGAAAACAGCGAAGCAGTAGGCGCGAACCCGGTCAGAGCAACAGCTCCAAGTCGTCAAGCAAGTCGAGTAAGTACACCTATGTCCAGATTTTCTCAGAATATGCAGAATACTGACAGTTTGTCGCAGAGCCCGATCCTTCCAAAGTGCGAACATGGACCGATCGATCCAAGTCCTTCAGCGTTGAGGCCCAGTTCCTCGGTGTCAAGGATGGCAAGATCAGGCTCCACAAGATGAACGGTGTGCAGATCGCCGTGCCCGTCTCGAAGATGTCTGTTGAGGATCTCGAGTACGTGGAGCGCGTAACTGGCGAATCTCTCGACGAAGACAAGCCCCTATCCGACCTTCGGAACAAGCGATCCGCCGGTGAGTCTTCGAGGTCTAGTCGATCGACGCGCGACAGGGAAAGAGACCGTGGTTCCAGCTCCCGGGTTGGCGCTACCATCGATTCCTCGAAGAAGCCCGACTACGACTGGTTTAACTTCTTCCTTGGTTGTGACATACAGGTTGGTTTGTGCGAACGGTATTCTCAAGCTTTCCTGCGGGAGGCTATCGACGAAAGTGTCTTGCCAGATGTTGATGCTACTGTGCTGAGGAACTTGGGCTTGCGTGAAGGTGATATTATCAAGGTCATGCGGTACCTGGACAACAAGTACATGCGGAACAAGAAAGGCGAAGAGGGCGAGGGAGGACTCTTCTCTGGGCCAGGAGGTGCGCTCCGCAACAACACGAAGAAGGGCAGGCCGGCGCCCCCTGTCGAGGTCAGCAACACCGTCGATCCCAACGCTTTCTCTAAGGACTCGGGTGCTAGTAGTGGCAAGTCGTCATCTCCTACGGCTGCGGCTACGCCAACGCCGTCTGCCTCGAAGCCTTCCAGTGGCTTTGATGATGATGCTTGGGATGTCAAGCCTACCAAGACGAAAACCCCTGAGCTGGCTGCGCAAGCCGTTGCTCCCGCTCCTGCGGCGGCACCCGCTGCCGCTCCAGCCCCTGCTGCGCCAGCTCTGGTTGACGCGCCGGCTCCCCCTCCGCCGGCGGCTCTTACCAAGTCGATGCAGGAGTTGTCGTTGCTTACCCAGCCTTTGGAACCCGAGAAGGTTGCTCCTCCGCCAGTTGTGCAACCGGCCATCACGTTGCCTCCGCCCTCCGCAGCTCCGGCTGCGGCTGCTGCTCCTGCTCAGGTTCCTCAGCTTACGGGCGCCACTCCCGGCTTCTTCACCGGTATGCAACCTCCTGCTGTTGGTGCACAGATCCTTCCTCAGAACATCGCCCGTCAAAGACCTCTTGCTCCTCAGTTCACTGCGGCCCCGGGTGGTCTTGTTGCTCCACCTCCATCTCGCCCCCTCTCGGCGCCTCAGTCCGCTCAACCCAGCGCCTTCACGCCACCCCCTATCCAGCCTCAGATGACAGGCTTCCAGGCACCCCAGATCGCTCCTCCTGGCCAGAGCCTCGGCGATCTCGCCCAGCAACGTCTCCAGCAACAGTACGCCGCCCAGATGCAGGCCCAGCAACAACAGATGCAACAGCCCATGATGACGGGCATGCAACCTATGATGACAGGCATGCAGCCCCAGCAGACCGGCTTCGGTCAATTCCCCCCTCAACAACAACCCTTCATGCCCCAGCCTACCGGCTTTGGTATGCAGCAGCAGCAACAACAGCCCATGATGACGGGCATGCAGCCCCAGCAAACCGGCTTCGGTCAATTCCCTCAACAACAGCCACAACCCTTTATGCCCCAGCCGACCGGCTACAATCACGTCGGTGGTGGACTCCCGCCTCCTCTCCAGCCTCAGGCTACGGGCATGAGCTTCACTCAGGGCTTTGGAAACGGACCCCAGCAGCAGCATCAGCCGTTGGTGCCGCAGCAGACGGGGCCGGCGCCGCCTGTGAGGTTCGGGATCAGTGGTGATGCGAAGAAATTGGCGCCGCAGGCGACGGGGAGGAGAGCCAATTTGGCTGCTGCTAGTAAGTTTTCCCGCATAAACGGCATGTCTTGTTGTAGTAAAATGCAATGTGCTAACAGTTTACTAGCTCCTGATAACCCGTTCGGTTTCTAAGCTTTCTCCATACAATTCACGTAGGCTTTGTCGGATTCTTGTGAGTGAGTGAGTGAGTGAGTGAGTGAGTGAGTGGGTGGGTGGGTTCCGTTCAGTGGTTGCCTGTGGTTGAGTCGGGATCGAGCGTGGTTGGGTTTAGTTTTGTTACTTGGTTGGGGCTGCTTGTTGATAGACTGTGCGGATACCCGAGAGATGGGTGATGCAAAGCGAGGGGAATCTGGAGTGAAGAGAGAACTCAGTGGAAGGAAACGCAAATGCGAGCGAGTTGGAAAGGTTGGGTGGTAAGTTCCATGGTGGGAAAGGTACCTAGTGAGGTGTGGTGCAAAGCATTAGCGAGTTCTCCGAGACAAACGAACACAATTAGACACACACGCCGACGAAACAGAAGAAGAAGAAGAAGAAGAAGAAGAAGAAGTAGAAGAAGCAGTAGCAGCAGTAGCAGCAGCACCGCGGATCGCATAGCATCGTCGCAATCTTTTTTTTTATAATAAGATCGATAACTTTTTAATATGATAATTACTAGGATGGATTGTCAAGTTTCGAATTACCTCTTCTTGGATGTGAATGAAAACTCTCAAAAGTCCCAACGAAGTTGCCCATATGGATCAAACGATGACATTTGCTTCGTTATCCTTAGGTACCAATGGTGGATAAACTTGAACATATATCGTACTTGATGTGTCTGTGACAGCACATCGATACCAGCACCTGTCGCAATAAGATCTTATTTACCTGCCATCTAGTCTCTCAGGTCTTCCTTTCATCCTATCTGGACTGCTGGCTGTCATCGCATATTAGAGTCCCTAGATATACACAATTGTTCCTCGTGTAATAGACTGAGTGATCTCGTCTTCCTGCTTCGTCCCTAACTCTTATATTGTATCACTTTCGTCCAGACGTGTTGGACACACGCAGCAATCCACACAATTTTCGTGATGTAGAAGTAATTTGATATATGGTCCTCAGTAAGTAATAGGTAGGGACTTATGGGGTTGTCAATCTAGCTAGGTATACATCAACATCACTTCACCATACAGACGCACTTCGCCGATTATATTGAGGATAAGGGCCATGCATTAATCGTCTATTATTCTCATTAACCTATACTACAAACTACCTTGAATGACCCTAAACCAATATCAATATCTCAGATATTACCTACCATACAAAGCCAATGCATACGCTTCATTTGATCCTTGTCCCATTGTTAAAATAAGAAACGCTTGCAAGATTATATAGAGGAACCTCACTCCGTGAGTCCGCTGGTCAAACCTCTCCAACTCATCTACCCTCTTTGACGATGTATCCAAAGAGATATGGCGAGTAAAACACCGTGATTGTCAGCATGAATTCGACACTGGCGCCTAGTCCGTCTCTATACCGGCCTCTTAATTCCTTCGTCTCCTCTTGTCATCCGACATTCTGTGGTCATAGCGCGCTTGTCAGTCTAAATTGGACCTCCCCCTCCGTATCTTTGTCTCTTCTTTAGTTCCTTTATAGTCCTGACATAGTTTCTCGGCATCACATCCCTTAGCAGCAGAGACTCTTCTTCGTTCCCGCTCTCAGGACGTGGCAACGGTAACAACTCGAGCAGGTCTCTATTACCATTATGACCTGCGCTCATGGCCTCGATAACACGCCTCAGCGCCGGCAGGGACGGATCATTGTCATTCCCGCTGGCGCTGCTGCTATGGGCGACCGCGTCCCCGTCCACAGGTGGTGAGGATGGCGGGCGCGTAGGAGAAGGGAGTCCTAAAAAGGCGCGCTAGTCCTACTGGATCGTCCCCTCGCGGAGCTCCTCGTTGTCGGGGATGAGGTCCTCGATCGAGTTCTGACGACGGTGTCTGTTGACGATGACGGGGCGCTTGGCTTGTTCGGTGGCGGTAGACTTGGCTTCCCTCTCCTCCTTACCAGCAGCGATGAGATCAGACTTTTCCTCCTTCGTCTCGTCCTGAGGCACAAACCTCTTCCTCACCGCCGAAATCATCTTGAAGAACCAATACCAGTTCAGCGTGTTCAGCGTCAAGTTGCTAGCCACATACAGCAGAGCAAGCCACACGGGGATGGGTTCAGGCTTGGCGGCGAAGAGCATCACGTTCTCGGCATCGATGGTGGAGCTGGTGGTGTTGTAGTAGGACTGGATGTACTCCGGCGTGGGCGCGCTGTGTACGGCTTTCCACATGTCTTTGTAGACCTCGATGGATTGCCAGGTGCCCCAGATCAGCCGGCAGCCGAAGAAGGTGACGAGGAGGGCGATGCCGTTGTACAGCTGCGCACGGGAGCCGGTCATGTTGAGCTTGTCGAAGAACCAGTGGATGTTAAGGAAGGGTGTCGAGAGCTCGTATAGGATAAAGGTCGTGGAGTAGTAGTTGAGGAAGGGTCTCTGGTTGACGGGCATTGTTAGTTGCTGGTATGAGTTGGGAGTTGGGTTGGGAGGGGAGGAGCACAAAGAACGTACGAATCCAAATGAGTAGACCACAAGTGCGCTGACAGCGTGGGCGAGAAGACCGAAGCCAAAGATATCAAAGTTCAGCAGCGTGATGCCCAAGTCCCAGACAAAGTAGCCACAGGCCAAAGCCTGGATCATGCCCGAGGCACCCGTGTAACCCCAGATACGCTGCTCCCAGTCCATGGCGGCACGCTCCTTGTCGGCGTACATGACCCATAGTGCCAGGACGTTGATGAGGGTGCTTTGGACGAGCGAGACGACGTGGGTATCCCAGTTGGCCTTCTTGGAGCGCGAGTGCTTGGGGTAGTACTTGGAGAAGAAAAGGTTGGACACGATGGGCGAGACGACGACGTGGACAAAGGTGTAGAGGGCGGCGGCGCCAATGACTTCATGGACATGGAGCGGCAGGGTCGGCAAGGAGAGACGGTCGGCCCATGGCTGGGTGGTCTTGGCCAGAGCCGGAATCGGGGGGAACGGGAAGGGATCCCGCATATCGACGCGGCGGCGACGTAGTTTGTGAGGAGGTTTGTTGATAACTGCGAAATGTACACAAGCTTCTGTCGGTGACGGTGTTTGGGAAGCTCTGGCTATATGTACGATAGCTTATGTGGCAGATTGGCTGCCCAAAGGACGACGGAAGGGGTCCAGGGTCGAGGTGGCTTCTAGTGGAGGCAGAGGCGGAGATAAATAAGGTAGACTAGGTTGTCAAATGGACCCCGGAAGTCTAGAGCTTTTGACAAGGTCAGGTCGACAAAGCTGCAACCGTCAACGTGCAGCAGCGAACAGCAGCCTCCAGCCCCAGGCCTTGACAGCTGGATCGTTACGACGGGAACGGTGGAGGCCAGCACGAGACGAGTCTCAGGCGGATAGGTGTTATACTAATGATCACGGCCGAAGGTCATGCAAAGAGAGAGAAGTTGGGACAATATCACAATAGTATCAGGAGAAGCAACAGCTTCCTCCTCCTTGATCTACACGATGGACGTTGGGACCACCAAATGAGGGTGTGGTGCCATGTGCGATGTTGTCATTCGTGCTTTCGGAAGCGTCAAGTACTTCGGTATTCGGGGCCGCCTCTCTTTTTGTCGAGCTGGACAACTACAGACAACTGTTTGGGGGAGGCATCCATGGCCTTCGGGCAGTCCAGACCAGGAAAGTCAAAGAGATGGATGGGGACCCTGTCACTCCCGCCTGTCACTGTGCGTTTTGTTGGGATCTTGGGTGTCTTGGCGCTGTGCTAGGGATGTCAAGTAGAGGTACCTCTGGCGCTGGCCTTATCTTATCGGGTCCAAGTGCTTCAAAATCACATGCGTTCAAGTGGCACAAGCTGCTGAACATGTTGACTTCAATCTCCATGAAGAAAACTCCCATAACCTCCATTCTGTCTCTCCAGAAATCTATGACTGACTTTTGCCCGAGTCACAAGAGTGATTATCCATGACCATAAGGTACTACCACCAGCAGATGGGTGTTGCCCCGCCACCTTTGCTGCAACTGCAAGGGCAGGTCATATGTTAGGTCCCTTGCTGCCCCCCTGACCATGAAGCCGAGGCACAGAAGTTGAGCTCAACTCAGGGAGGGTTAGGGTATCATAGCACCACTCAACTGGAAAGCTGATGACTTCTATATGATCTTGTGCACCATTCAAGTCGAAATGTGTCAGTATAAAAGTCAACACACTCATCTGAATAGCATGGGATTGCATGAACCTTGATAGTTCATCTGTACGCGTTATAGGGTCATCAGAGTCCCCGTTTCCATTCTATAAACTACCTGAAACTCCATCATCCATATTGCCTGCCATCAAAGATCGTCAAAGCTCCCAACTTGGCCAATGTATTCATATGCTCCTGTCAACCTTTCACTCATCTTCTTTACCACCGGGTCCTCCCTCTAAATTGTTTTCATCATTTGATTTGTTAGCCGCTGTGGCTGTCAAGGTGCAAATTTGCTTGCGCGGGACCCTTCGAAGACGCTTCCTCGCCCTTACTCGGGATTGCCGTCATAACCATCCACCCAGTCCATCCTCATGAAGTTCGCCAAGCACAGTGCCATCTCAGGTTCTTGTTCTCCTACAGGGCGACCCCAACTCCTCTCATCGTCGGCATTTTTCATTGTGCTCCAGAGTGGTGGAGGGCAGCGTGAGCGTGGTGGAGGGGTGGGTGCTGGAACCAACATGTTGTTGTTATAGTAGTTATTGTAGTTATTGTTGTTGTTAAGGCCGTCCAATTCATACACCCGCGGCGGGCTGTCTGCGCTATTGGCCCGAGCCGCTCTTTCGTTATCATCATGCCCTTCAGCTGGTTGGCAAAAGAGGCTGGTGCTATAAATCGGACGACTTTCCTTTTGCTCAGGGTCGTCCTTGCGTTGCACAAGAATTGTAACCGTGTTGTCTTTCAGGAGCCTGGGGTCGATCTCTATGCCAATGGGACTCTTCAAGTTGTGTCAATTAACAGCGTCTTGATCACCGGCAGCCGCCCCATGCAAAGACTCGGGCCTTTCAACATGGTGCCTACCCTGAGCCAAGTTTGGCATCTCTGGCTTTTCAGCAAGTCCAATCCTCTCTAGCCTTTCTCGAGCCAGCGCATTATGCTCGTGAACTTTTTTCTGATCAAGCCATTGCTTCTTCGGGTCCTGCTTCAGTTCCTTTCTCTTTCCCTTCTCCAGTCCCTTCCTTATTTCCTTCTGCTTTTTGAGACCCGCAGCTCTGGCCCTCAACCTGTCCGGCTCTGCCCTGTGCTGACGATCGCGTTCATCGCAATACTTCGATGGCGAGGTTTGATATACAATTTTATCGCTAGAGGACGAGTCGGAAGACGAGTCAAAGGACGAGTCGTATGAGCTGGAAGAATCGTTGTCGCGATCATGACCGTCGCGGATTGCAACGCGACTTGTAACTTTTGACTTTCCTGTTCGATCAAGGAAGGGATTCGAGGGTCCACGTCTCCAATCTTCACGGTCATGCACATGAGGCATGTATGGGGGATCGGACAACCTTCGTGACGCGTACGCACTGTCCTGCTGTGCGTTCTTATTGCCGATGATGTTGAAGGGTACCTCTACACGCATCGGAGGAGGCATTTTCAGACGAAACTGTTCCTCGATGAAAGTGGCAACATATTGAGGAAGCCGTGAGCCATAGATCCTCAGATGTATTGCCCAGCCAGGTGTCATGGTCTCATACCCAGTGGCCTTCGCCCAAATATAAGTGCAAATGACATCCCGGGCCCAAATGAAAGATGGATTAACGACGGAGGGGAGATATGAGCATCCCGTGGCGTTATCGAGTGGCTCGAAGTTTCGCAAAAGCTCCTTCTCATCGGCTTCATTTTGTCCCTGTGGCACGAGGTATCTTGCCAGGCAGGTGCCTAGGTAGCCTTCCATATCGCCTTGCAAATCAAGTTGCAAAGTGGAAAGAGCATTCATCAGCCTCGTTGGATCCTGAGATTGCAGACAAAGAAATTTTAGAGCCAGGGCTTGTAGATATAAGTCGTCTCCCTCCATGGCCGCTCCTAGCGCAACCTCGACGGCGCTTCGTTGCGCGGCGTCGGGCCGTGCAGAAACCAGTGCCCAATTAGGCCTTTCGCAAGGCATGGGGACAAAAACTGGAAGGTGTATGCGATCCCTTTGCCCAAGCAGGAGCCCATGGAAGTCATTGATGGTAACCCCGTCAGGACGCTTTGGTGTTGGGCGAGTTTCCCACCATGTCTTAGCGAGAATCCACTGAATGAAAGGTCTCGTTTTCATGTTATCCGCGTTATACCTCTGGACGGATTCTGCGAAGACTCTGGCATGTTCGACTAATGTTGGTGACGACAACTCAGCTCCTTGGTCGATAGGATGGGTTTGCAACATGAGAGAGGTGAAAATATCCAAGAGACCAAGTGTGACGGATTCACTGCTCCCCAACTGGGCCCAGTCTTCGTGAATACGCGCAAATGCCCCGTCCGAATCTTTGGATTTGGATAGCATTACGATGGTCTCTAGCCACCCAAACAGTGAGACGGCGCTGACGAGTAGATCCCTGAAGTCCCAGATACGAGCTTCGCTCAGTAGGCGATAGTAGATGAGCTCCAGATCCAGCAATGCTTTGGCATGCCGTATTGCTTGGGCCACGACCTGGTAGTGTGAGGTTGCTTTCAGGTAACTCAATACTTGAAAGCAAAGGGAGAGAATTTGAATCTAGAACCCTGTTAGATTTTGACTGGCAAAGTCTTCAAAACATAACTCCGAATTTGGTCTGCCAACTCACCTCTGTTGATCCTATTACTTGTTCATCATAAAGGTCCTCTAAAACGTCCCGGACAGTCTCCAACGCCACTTTAGTATAATTCCATATCGGTGAGCGCGTGACGAGTCTCAAGAGCTCAAAATTGGTTTTGAGCCTGCCGTCTGTCGCGCTCTTCGGACCCTTTTCCTCGTTCAGACCGGGAAAAGTGAGTTCCTGGAAGCTCTTATAGTCCCCCGACACAACAAGCATCTCAGCATAGTGTATAAAGATGTATGGAATGGTGCCATGTTGAGCAAGCTTTGACTGATAGAGATCCCTAGCCTCTTTGAACCTCCCCAAGCGTCGAAATCGACAGAAGTCATCCAGATATGGGCTCAAGTCATGCTCGATAGGAACATCAAACTGAATGCTGATATCTTTTGATGACTGTGAGGGATCATATACAGCATCAAAGGCAATCTTTTCCACTCGGACTTTCGAAGGCCGAGACAGCAAAGGTTGATTTCCGCTGTTGTGCGGTTTGAGGTCGTTGGTGCTCGGTCCTAACATAGGTTTTGATAGAAAATATCTAATCTCATGTAGCCTCTGAGACGTGGTCTTTCTCTTGTCGCTCTTCTCGTAGTGATGCTGTGGGACGTTTGGGAGTGATGCGAGAATTTTGGGGTGCTGAGTGGCACCCTTGCCCATTTAAGGACGACTTTCGAAGCTGTGGGATCAACACTTGCCCGAGAATTGCAGTAGCCACAAGGCTCTGGGTGTCATGTAAGCAGCCGACGGCCTGGTTACCCAACCTGGTCAAGCGTGGATGTAAGAAGCCATACGAGACAGCTCATGACGATTGGACCGTTAACCGCTTGATAGTTATCTTCGAGGTTGCTGTAACAACTGTACCCTGCCATCCACCTTCAAGTAGGTATTTTTCCAGATCTGGAGGCCTCTCATTTCCTTTTCTCTTCTTCATGCAAGCTCGTACTTGAGTCAACCTGAGCCATTGGTTTTCACCTTTCCTTAAGGTTGCACTGCGGCTGAGAGCCTGTATGACAGACCAATGATGGGAGCAATGAGTTTCGAGTGGCTTAGCTTCACTAGGCAGACTGGAAGGTGTTCCTACGCAGGCAAGTAGGTAACAAGGCTGAGCGTGGAGCAGCTGCTGCGGCAGGAAAATGTGCTTGTGGGTTCTACGCAGATAAGCGCTACTCTTCCCAAGTGATTGTCGACAAGTGCTGTCCGCTTGGTTGACTTGCGCGCACCCGATCACAAACGACCTCGTTCCGCTCTGGATCATCCATATGGCATATCATCAAACCGAGTCAAAGTCGTGGAAAGGGGCAACCAGATGTGCGCCCAAATACACACGCGTCGACTATGGGCGATTCCCCGAGAGTGTTCCGCCCCTTATACCTATCGGACAAACATCAAAAATTGGAAAGATTGAAGTCGATTGCCGGTTCCTTTGCTCAAGGTCCAGATGGGGTAAGATGTCTAAGGAGGGTCCGGGTCCTCGGCCTAGTGACACTTATCCCGCCGGCATCCTCTATCTTGACCTGGCCTTCCGTCAACCTGCTGACTGCAGGCTTCAGTCAGCAACAATCGCCGTAACCCTGGGAAGAGATGACTATACGCTTCAGCAGAGTGAGCCGGCTGTCTTCATGACCGGCCACTATGGCCCAAGACAACTGAGCGGACCCAGACAATCGATACAAACCCGACAACTGGACGAGTTCAGACCACAAGTAGGAGTAGGGAGCTTTGTCGAGGTTGGCGGTGTTGGCATGCAAAAAGAAAAACTCCAAACCATCACTGACAGCTGGCGTTTCTCTGGCTATCTCCGGTCTGTTGATGGGTGTCCGAACTACAACAGGCTGGAGTGGGTTCTTGACGAGAGCTTCCTTGAGGAGCGACCGACGCACGGCCCCGTCTTTCACACAGCCTTTGCCATCGGGCACAATGCGAGGGCCTTTTATCTGACGGTGGAGGTGACCGGCACCCTTGCTAGGAAACGGGATAAGCTCAAAAACTGGTCAAGGGAGAAATTCAAGTTCGGGGGAAGTAAACACACCCCGCAAAACCAAGCAACAATCAAGTTCCAGTGGAGCAACGGATACTCGTCTGCCAAGTTCCCCCTGGACATGGAAGCCCAATATCTTTCACAGGCCATGGATGAGGCGAATATGCACAGCATTCCGATGGTGATCCCGGAGCCTCAACCAGCCACTTTCTACCCACCAGCTATGCACTCGGAGGCGGCCACCGACACTCGAAGGACGTCTGTCCACTCCGACAACGTTATGCTTCCAACAGTCCGCGATAACACTGCTGAAGCAAGGATTCCGCGGCTGCAAACAGATGTGCCACCTACGCTGCTGCGGCTGACCGATGCTCTCCCAAACTTGATGCCATCGACACACGATAACATGGCTAGGGCCGCCGGATTGGACTCTGTTGGCCGTTCTGATTCGATAGATCTTGACATCCCTGATTTGACCCCGAAGCCGGCTGTTTCGGGCTGCACGACACTGGTCGATGACGACCAAGACAGTGAAAGCCCTTGGGAGTCTAATTCAACCCCACGGCGGACAGTGGAAAGACAAGCCAAAACGAGCGACGAGTCCAGTGCGGAAAAGACGATGAAGGGAGAGAATCATCCGTGCAATGAGCCGCCAATGGAGGTTGGTCTTATGCTGAAGCTCCTGCACTGGCTTCAATGTGTTACTATCTGGGAGCTTATCTCGGCGATGCTTGGAGTTGCTGTCTTAACCGGGGACGGCCGTGCGGATAAAGGAGATTGGGGTCGACAAGGAAAATGACACCAAACGTAGAATCATCCGCGTACAATCCAGCGGCCAGGAAAGAAAACAGTTCAATGAGGACTCTGACACGGAGATGCCGGTTCCCATGGTACCAAACCGTGCGTGGCAAACCGAAGGAAAGATGAGTTGGAGCGGCGATGGAATTGACAGGCGAACGGGTATTATGATGTGTGGAGTTGAAAGGAATTGGGGAGGGAAACAAATCTGTAATGACATCGCATCGTCGGATAGCATGCGGCTCTCTGGTGGGCAAGGCGCGTTGCTGAAGGAAACCACACTCCCACAGTAGGCAGTCGAAGTCGGGTGTTGTTTTGGAGATGGTATGGTGATGGCAGACCGCTAACACAAGTTGGCATGGCCCGCGTAAAGAACAAGTGTCGTGGGAGGTGCAGTCGTTTGATGAGACAATGCTGATTTATCTGGGCTTTGCCTGTAAGCTAAACGAAGGAAACAAGAGGATAGGTACTGAGTCTTTCTGGAAAGGGAGGATTTTGTAGAGACGCAAATGTACAGTTCAACATGAAGCGATCTAGAATATCAAGCATGATGTTTCTGCCAAGGGCCACTCACTGTAACTGACCCACAGGACTTCTAAAATCTAGCGCTACATATCGCCTATTGGAGGGCCGCGCACTGACCACGCTTCCCCCCGGGGCTTTCCCTTCCCATCGTGTGGGTTGCTGCATCGCCGCTCCTCTTCCAAGCAGAATACCAAACAACCATCTATGAAACAAGGAAGAAAGCATCTGGCCAAACGAAACTCCCATCATCAGGTAATTCCATGAATCTCAATCCAAAACAAACTGAAGTACTTGACGATTACAAGGTGGAACCTCGGACAAAAGGAGCTTTTTGAGATCGATATCTCATCGCAATTCATAACTTCACTCTGGCCCTTTTGGTTATCCTCGAGTGGTGGGTCCTGGGCTGAGTGGGCAACCTCCTGAGAGTTGACGTGTGCAACTAGCTGAGGCAGCAGAGACCTCGAGGTTCAACGGCTGTCATTGAGTTTGGGCAATCTTTGGATATTTTCGCCGAGTCTTCCATTAGAAGTATCGCCAAGTGAAAATGGCAGATCTTCTTTACGAGCTCTTGTCCCCTCCTTCAGGGGACCCATCATCCAGGCCAGCGCCCGATCCAAGCTCACTCGAGTATCTGACCAGTCTCTCATCACAACCTCTCACAGCATTGGAGACAACCGAGCCACAAGCCCTCGCCCAGACTTCACATGGTCTCCTTCTATCCATCCAGGCTCTTTCAAAGAAGTCCCACAAGCAAGTCATCGAATCAGCAACCCACCACTCCACCCTCCGCACCAGCCTACCTGCCCTAGCAGCCAGCACCGCCGACCTGCGACATTCCATCCCCAAGCTTGATCACGAAGCCGTCCGCTTCTCGACAAATTACAGCAAGTCCAGCGAGAGCGATGTCCTCCTCCGGCGCAAAAAGGCCCTCTTGCTCTCTCGAAATGTCGAGCGGCTCGTCGACGTGCTGGAGCTGCCCAACCTTCTATCAACAGCCATCTCCACTGCCCCAGTCAACTACTCCTCTGCCCTCGACCTGAACGGCCACATTCGCCGTCTGCACTCGCTGTACCCGGACTCACCTCTGGTCACCTCCATCGCCGCCCAGGCAGATGAGGCCATGCGCACTATGGCCGCCAACCTCATCCAAAGTCTAAAATCTCCAGGTCTCAAATTAGCTGCTTCTCTACGCACTATCAGCTGGCTTCGGCGCGTTCTTCCTGACCTAGAGGCTGCCGGCACAAGCAAGGGTCACAACTCTCAAGAACGGGTGCTGGGGGCCCTCTTCTTGGTCTGCCGACTGGCGACGCTGGTAAACACGCTCGACGCCTTGGAACCACTACGTGACTTGGCCGACCAGGAGAAGGCGAGGCAAAAGGCGATTGGAAGCGGGAATGCCTGGTCGGGCGGGCAGCAAACGGAACGCTATCTCAAGCGGTACATTGAGATCTTCCGTGAGCAGAGCTTCGCGATTGTGAGTATGTTTAGGAGCATATTCCCTCCTGCTGCTCCAAAGGGGAATGGCAATGAGGGTTCGGATAATCCCTTGAAGCAACAAGATGCGCTGGAACCCATGCCGGCTGCGTTGGCGACGTTTCCGCTGCATCTGGTGGATATGTTATTGGAGACACTGAGGCTGTATTTGCCCACAGTGAAGGATCAAGCCTCAAGGGATAGTTTGCTGACGCAGGTCCTTTACTGTGCCGGAAGCTTGGGAAGGCTCGGAGGCGATTTTGGACTGTTCTTGGCCAGTCTGGATCTTGGGCCGGAAGCGGAGGAGGAGTGGGTGGAGGTTGTGAAGAGACACAGGGCTTTGGCTGGAAGACTCGAGTCGATTGTGGGGGATCAGAAGAAATAAAAGAAAACCGACTGGATGAGCGCCCAATCTACCAATAACTAGCTAACTAGAGCTTGTCGTTCTGAAACCTACACTTAATACAATTAATCAGGATTTGGTGTTCAGGACGCTCCTAACTAGCACCGGGATGTCCGACGGGCATAGGTATATCGGCGCATCAAAGACCCTTGATTTGCAGACATGCCTGGCCCGGGCACTTCTTCCTCTCTGGGCCTTTTGTTTATCTTACGTTTGAACAGTATATCTCTCCAAAGATCGGCTCTCCTCCAAGAGATGTTGAAAGTGGGCCTACCTTAACTTGAGGCCGCTTCCGGGGCCCCGGCCTGTTCGGTCTGTGGTGGAGCCAGTTAGCGGCCCCGCAGCGGCAGGGTGGAGAAAGACCGTTCCCGAACGGCGGGGCAGTCCCGAAAAAAAATAATCGGCGACTCCCATGCCGTCATACTTGTAATTCTTTGTCCCTGCCGTTCCGGCAACAGCATCTTTCCCGGTAGCTTCTTCCCTCCATATCCACGGCAAATCTCAACACACGAAACGGAAGCGCAGCCACGATGTTCACTTGTCTCTAGTTTTGATCTCTGTTCTCCTTCCTCTTTTTCCTACCCAGCGGCAACGTCTTACGGCCATGGTCGGTTTGCGCCACGCTTAAACTGAACCCTCTCTTTTCGTCGTCATCTTCTCGCCCACCGACCAAAGGGGAGCATCAAGCTCGTCAGCCAACCGTTGCGCAACCATGTCCGATGGTTCCCGTAAATCGGGCACAAAGTCCAGTATGTCCCCAGTCCGAATCTTCCATCGTAATCGTTTTGACCTTTGAGACCTCCTCGCTAATTTAAACCCCCTCTCAACCAAACAGCCTTCCACTTCGTAGCTGGTCTCGGCTCCGGCGTCCTCTCCGCCATACTTCTCCAACCCATCGACCTCCTCAAGACCCGCGTCCAGCAATCCGGCAAACACTCCCTCCGCGCCGCCCTCGCCGAGCTCCGCTCCTCCCAACAAGGCCTCCTCCCCTCCCTCTGGCGCGGTACCCTCCCGTCAGCTCTGCGCACCGGCTTCGGCTCCGCCATCTACTTCACGACCCTCAACACCATCCGCGAAAATGCCGCGCGCCACCTGCCCTCCCTCGCAGCGGCCGCGCCCACCATAGCCGCCGCATCCGGCATCGTCACCCCCAACGCAAACCAGACATCCTCCTCCCTCCCTAAGCTCTCCAACACAGGCAACCTGCTCGCGGGCGCCGTCGCCCGCTCCTTTGCCGGCTTCATCCTCATGCCGCTCACCGTCCTCAAGGTCCGGTACGAAAGCAGCTTCTACAAGTACACCTCTTTAGCCGGCGCGGCGCGGGATATCGCGCGAACGGAAGGGGCGCGCGGCTTTTTTGCTGGGTTCGGCGCAACCGCCATTCGCGATGCGCCGTACGCGGGACTGTATGTGTTGTTCTACGAAAAGTCCAAACAACATCTCAGCAATCTTTTCCCGCAGCCACCACAACTATCCACCACCCTTGAGGCAGCGGGACAAGACGGAGGACGCATGAGCCAATCCCGCGCCGCCTCGATCAACTTTGCCTCGGGCGTCTTTTCCGCAATCATCTGCTCGATTATTTCGAACCCGTTTGATGCGGTCAAGACGAGGATCCAGCTGCAGCCCAAGAAGTACCGAAATATGGTGCAGGCTTCGAGAAAGATGTTGGCTGAGGAAGGGGTGAGGAGCATGATGGATGGACTGGCGCTCAGGATGAGCAGGAAGGCGATGAGCTCGGCCTTGGCGTGGACGGTTTATGAGGAGCTGATTAGACGGGCGGAGGGGGCGTGGACGAAGAGGGGGCCGGAGGAGGTTCAGCTGTAAGTTGAAGGGGAAAGTTGGAAGGGTGTTCGTTACGTTGGTACACTGGAAGATCGAGGGGGCAGAAAGTAAGCCTGGAAGGGAAAATCAAAAGCCAATTATGGCTACGGGAAGGGAAGATCATGAAATGACGCTCATGGTCAAACAGGAAAAAGGACAAAAAGGTACTGCAGGCGGTAGGTATGGGTACGGATTTGGGTTATTCATCACGGACGGTGTTTTTGTGGTTATTGGGGTTTGTACCACCATTATAGATATCCCTCTGCTCAGCGATTAACGACATGTACAATTAGCGATCAAAGACTTTGTAAGATAGGTACGAGACACAGCCAGCGGCTTTGTCTTGGTACGGATTGATGATGGGTAGGTATCATATCGAGGTTGGGTCAAGGGTCAATTAGCATTGGCATTGGAAGGTCTTGGAATTCTGTTTGGAAAAGATGTTGCAAAGGTGACCAAGTCAAATCACAACCCACAGCTGAAGTCGAAGTAGTGAATCAAGTCATGGGTTTCTGTCTTGTCGTGATATCCTTACAGCATCCATCATCGACAAACGTACTAATAAGTCATTCCCTTGGGTTTTCTTTCCGTGTGTTTCTGGTGCTCATCCAATCTTTCTAGGAGTAGGAGGGTATTGAGAAGAAACTGAAACCCAACAATGAGTGAATTGATGATGGATATCTTTGTTACTACCCAACCTTAACCATCAACCAAAAATCAGAAAAAGGTAAGCAATGCAATCATTTCATGATATCCAAAAGCAAAAGAAAACACATCCATCTCTCATCCCAAACAAAAGTCAAAACACATCATCCCTCATTATCCCCTTATCCCCGAATCCCTCCTCTCATGAAGGCCGTCCACCAGCCAAATACATCAACAAGCTAGGGCTCTTGCTGCGATGTCTGGTGCTGCTCTTCTTACGCACAAACTCGAACTGGTCGTCGTCAAGATGACTACCGCTGTGTCTATGGTGGCTGCTCCTCGAATGGCTGTGGCTGTGATGGCGCGAGTGCGAGCGTTCGCGGTGCTTGTCTCTCTTGTCTTTGATGACCAGAGTTTCGGATACCTCCTTGGTCACTACGGTGCGGATCTGGCGCGTGTGGTCCCAGAGTTGTTGCTGCTCCCATTCCGGCACCCAGCGCTTGATTAGGACGTAGCCTGGTTCCTGTTTTTGGGGGGATGGGGCGTTAGTGATTTGGAAATGGGAAAATGGGATACTGTTGGGGGTGGGGGAAATACGTACAGCATCATATTCAAAATCGATCTTGAAGTGGTAGAGGGTTTCGACGTCGAGATGGCGCAGAGACATGCGAGTATAGGTAGGACGAGCAATCTGTCCTTGCTTCTTGGCCTCCTTCTCACTGTCGCTGTCACTATCGCTGCCCTTCTTCTCCTTCTTGATCTTCTCCTTCTTGAGAATGGCCGCGATAGCCTTCTCGTCCAGACCGGAGTTGATCAGATCCTCCTGCAGGCGGCGCTGGTACTCCCTCTCCATCCTCTCCTTCTCCTCCTGCTCCTTGGCCAGCCGCTCGGCCTCCTTAGCCTTCCAGCGGGCCACGGCCGCCTCCTCCTCTTCCTGCTTACGCTTCCGTTCTTCTTCCGCCTTCCTCTCTTCCTCTAGCCGCTTGAGCTCGTACTCGCGACGCAAGCGCTCCTCCTCCTCCTTCTTTTCCTTCTCCCTGCGCATGCGATCGAGCTCCTCCTTGGCCTTGCGCAGCTCCAGCTCCTCCTCGAGCTTCTTCTGCTTGCGCTCCTCTTCCTCCTCGCGTTCCAGCCGCTCGAGCCTCTCCTTGGCGCGAATGAGTTTTTCTTCTTCCTCGCGAGCCGCTGCACGGCGCCGCTCCTCCTCCTGCCGCCGGATCATGTCCAGGTGGAACTTGGCTTCGTGCAGCTGGTGCTGCTTCTCGTACTCCATCTCACGGCGGTGTTCTTCTTCTTCGCGGCGGCGCTCCTCCTCGCGCCGCTTGATCATTTCAAGCTCGTACTTGGCCTGCGCGAGTTGCTGCTGCTTCTCGAACGCGGCCTCCTTCTTCCGCTCCTCCTCCAGGTGGCGGGCCTCTTCCTCTTTGCGCTTGACGAGGTCCAGCTGGAACTTGGAGACGGCCAGCTCGTCGTGCTCCTTGTACTTGTCACGCTCCCGAGACTCTTCCTCCTTGCGCCTCATGAGGTCGAGCTGCACCTTGGCTTGGTAGAGCTGATCGTGCTCTTCGTGCTGCTCTTGGAGGCGGCGCTCCTCCTCCTTACGCCTGATGAGGTCCAGCTGGAACTTGGCTTCATGGAGCGATTGCTGTTCCTTCATGTGGCCCAGCTGGCGTTCCTCGTCCTCCTTGTGCCGGATCAGCTCGAGCTGGAGCTTGGTCTGGTGGTAGTCCACATCCTTGTCGTGCTCGGCCTGGAATCGCTTCTCCTCGGCAGCACGCTCGAGGCGCTCAAGCTTGGCCTCGGCATCGCGCAGACGGAGTGACTTTTCCTGGTCGTAAGCGGACCTGCTCCGCTCCTCCTCGAGTCTGATCGTGGCCAACTTTTCCCGGGCCTTGACCAGCTCGATCTCCTCTTCGTGGTACTTTTCTTGAGTGAGACTCTGCTTCTTCTGTTCGTTGGCGGACCTCATGGCCGCGAGCTCGGCCTTCATTCTCTCCAGCTCCCATTTGGTATGGGCGTCGTCAAAGTTGCTTTCGCCGCTCGACGACCGGCTACGGGCGCGGCTGTGTGCACCACGGCTGTGAGACTTGCGGTCCCGCTTGCTGAGGCCAGCATGAACATGGTAATCAGGTTCCGAGTCAGACGAATAATCAGAGGAGCTGTGATGGCCGCGGCCGATGATGTTCTGAACCACAACCGGTCCCTTGGTCGCAGGAGAGGGAGGTGCTGGGACGACCATGCCAACGGGAGGAGAGGGGCGCTCGCGCGACCCTGCACGCGACCGTGAGCGGCTCTGGTGGGCGTGAGTAGCCACGAGAGTGCGCTCATTGACAACAGAAGGAGCGCGTTGCTCCCAGTAAGGTACTCGGGATGGGCCGCCAAAGTCGGACCGGGATACGGACTGGATGTAGGTAGGGCCACGGTGGGTGCGATCGGGCGAAGGCGACCTGGGAGGAGGACGGACCATGCCAGGAGGCGGCGCCCGATGGACACGGATGTCGATGCCCGTGGACGCCAACGACTCCTCGTCGCTATAGTCGTAATGGTGACGACTAGCAGCGCGGCTCATCTTGTCGACACTTATTTGGATATGGGTGAATGGGGTTTCGGGTGAGACGACTGGAGCCAAACTGACACTGACTGAGGTGACAGTGAGACAGGACTGGAGGAGGAAAGGCTCACTGTGGGTGGTTTGTCGCAAAAGAGATCAGGCTCGAGAGAGAAAAGCGGCACATGGAGGGGCCCAGAAGGAATATAAAAGCCCGGTTTTACACTACTTGAGGGCGGGGTGTGACGCACCACTTGCTCTGTGGTCTAGCGCAGGGGGGCATGGAAGGTAGCATGGGAGAGCATCAGGAGGGAAGGTCTCAATGGACCCATGAGGCATGGTTGGGCTGGGTCAGCTCGGCCCCGGCCAGACACGTTAACGACACAGTGTGTACGGGTTTTTACTCAGTCTGGTAGGCAAGCAGGTATTCCCAGACGGACCACACCCTCGGACACAATCAAAACACGACGGGTGATGCGGCATGTGCCACACAGCCGCCGAACCATGGAGCCGACAAGAAGGCCAGAAGATACTGGAGGGGCTAGCAACGGTGATCACGCCCTCTCACTCGTTTCTCACGGTGGCCTGGCTGTGGTTGGTCCAAAAGCGGGTGGGTGGTCCGGCAACAACCCTAGCGGTTGCATGTCCCAGACGCCCATAGGCGGCATGATGAGCCAGTGAATGGACCAGAGATGGGCAAGCGATAGACAAGGTGCTGACAAGAAAAGGTCTCAGAACGTGATCTGGACGGGTCGGTGGTGGAGGTTTGTGGAATGTGGACGGTGAAGATCCCAAGATCCAGAATCCAGATTCTCCATCCCTTCAGTGGAAAAAAAGCAAAGCCACTTTCCAATGCCGAGTAGAGGACGAACAAGTCGCGCAGAAGGGTCTGAGACGACAGTACCCGCAAAGGAGGGGTTTCACGGGCTGTGGTTGGGTTTAGAGCTGAGCCTCGCCAACGACAATCATCGGCTCTAGCTTGAGGGTCCTATGAGCTGCTGTGACTGGTATCTTCCGCGTCGGGTAAACCAGACATGTTGTGCTTCTGTGTACATTCCGTAGTGACGGTCTCACAGTCTGAAAGAGCTCTCTCTGTTGGCGACTGAGCATCTAGTGAAACTCGATTGTTTTCTTCCTCGTCGACTTTTCAATGTGAAAAATGTGCGAACGCTGTTATCAACCCGAAACTCGGGAATGCCGTCGCTGAAAGTCGCCATGCATAGGGCTAAAAGTGAGGGGCTGTACCCAGGTGCATGAAGCGTGCAGTAACCGGGTCTTGGCAGCGGATCGAATCTAGCTGCCAGGCTTGTGTCTTTCAGATGTCTGTTTCCAAGGAACACGGTCCTTAGCTGTCAGCCGGGTGTTACCTCAAGGACCCAAGATATCGAGATCAATGTGCAAGAAAGAATTGAGGCGTCCGTACGGGAACAGTGTGAGGGCATTCCGACTGCTCGAGGAAATGGCTGCCGAGTGGTTTTCGACCGAAAGATGGCCCCACCGGAGCTTCAGTTGCTGTGATGAATCGGGCGTGGTGATTCGTAGCAGCCACCAATCTTGATGAAAAATGATAATATCAGCATGTGAACACAAAAATTCAAGGTAAGGCGCGCCGCCGGTGACACTGAAAGTGCTGTCATGATAGGCAACCGTACGCTATGTCGTATCTCCCAACATCGAAATATGTTTGTAACATCGTGACGCACCCAATACCTCAACCCCATCCCATCTCGCTCAATCTTCTAGAGCTTCCAGGTTGGGCACCGTGCCCTGCTGCCGAGCTCGGCCGGGACTTGGGCCGCCACTCCTCCATCCGCTGGGATTTAAGCGCCAGCTATAACTACCTCTACCCGGATAGACTCCACAGTGTTTATTAGTGTAGTATACACTGTACACAGCCGCGTATAACGGCATATGATACTGTTCGATTGGCACGCAGGCGGGCGGGCCATCCCCATACACAGCTAGTGTACATATAGCAACGACACAAACTGGACCTCCAAGCTCAAGGGATATCTGTTCCCGACCGCTGAATGTGATAGACACGGTGCCGTTGGCATAAAGAAAAATATTTTATAGTCCGCCCTACCGATTCCTATTTCCAGGGACATCGATAACGTTTCCCCTGTTGAAACTTGTGAGCGCCAAACTCATCGGCGCTTCAAGCAACAGCCTCCCTTCCTTCTCGCGCTTTAAGTCCCTGAACGACACCCAGCTCCCCAGCTCCCCTTTAAGCCTGTCCACCACCCTTGAGCATCTTCTCGATATGCTCCTGGCTGTTCTTCGCTGTCGTCTCGAGGTAGTGCAACCTCTTGCCCAGGTTCTCCACCTCGGTCTCCATCTCCTTCATCTCGGTGCTCAACCTATCCTTCAATGCCGGGACAGGGACGGAGACGAACCTGTTTGTTTTTTTTGGTGAGTGTGTCGTTAGGAAATCGGTGTGGCCACCCGGGACGTGGTGTCCTGTGGTCGTCGGTTTGTAAAGGTGATGATCAAGAGGTAGTACGTACATCTTCCCAACGCCCTCATACACGGCAGTGGTCTCGGGCAACGTGGCGAGCTCATTCCGTGTGAGCTGGGCCAGACGCATTTCACGCTGCTTGGATGCCTGCTGGGTGCGGACGAGACCAATTTGTTGCTGAGCCGCGATCGACTGCGCTTCGATCTCACGGACCAGCTATGTCATTGGGGTCGATGTCAGAGCTTCACTGCAAAGCGTCATTGAAGTGGTTGATGCCCGGCTCACCTTTTGAAGAGCTTCGTTGGAAATGGACATTGTTGCGGTTGCGGTCTGAGAGATTAGGTGAGGAACAAGGGTATAATCGGTGATTTGATCCTCAACTGGGTTGAATTGTCGCTGTCTGGGTGTTTTGAATCTGAAAGTCCAAAAGGGGGGAAGCTGTTCTGTGAGGGAAACGTTGGCGGCCGCGACCCTCAGTTTGGACAGTGCAGTGGTGATGCGCTGGAAAGCACAGTGTGTTTATCGCCTATCCGCACATGTCTTTGTTCGATGCACTCAGGGTCCGTTTCAGTTGTCTTTAGTTCTTCCAACACAACAAGCAACAAGCTTCTTGCAAATTACAACTTGCCATGTTCCATTGTATCTCTATGGGCAACTACCGATGTATGCTTCCATTGGTTCCTTTATCTCAATCGAGGTGTTTATTTCCACGATACCCTATGCCTCCACAGCTTCTACTGCGAAGACATCGTCTTTGTGGTCGCAGTTGATCCTCAACAAACGGACAGTTTTGCGGTACTACCCATTATGCCGATACTCACTCTCTTCATTGACTTTCTTCTCGAAAATTATGTTGATAGCGACTCGGAGTTATCAGTGTTTCACTGCTCCCCTGCCCTCGGATCGACTTGTACTCGAAAAAAAGTGACCGTGATCGGTTCACCAGGAGTGGCCTACATTCGTGCCTGGTCCCATTATCCTACCAACAAGATGATCATACTATCTTCGCTAATCCTCTTAAATCGATCTTTAGTCTATTATCTAAGGACGCTTGCCCTCTTGCCAGATATTATCAGCTGCTCTTGGTTGCACCCTTGTGAGTCCTGGGAACGACCTGAGGAATAGACCTCCAAGGCCGCCAATCAAGCATGAATTTCTCCTCCTCGCCGCTGAGGCAACGAACCAGCCAGATGCGCCAGAGAATCATTTCGTATGCTATATAGGAGCAAGTGTCAGTCAAAAAGAAACCACAGCGATAGAGCCGTCTTTCGGCTATGGGATGCACTTACCACCTAGGCCAGTCAGGATATGCCACCATCCATGACCTTCAAGTACAATCGACCAAGGGAGTTGCAGCTGGTTCTTTGCGGTGGTGAGATGTCTGCAGAAGATGTTGTCCATGTTCCAGATAAGGAAACCGCCGACAAAGGTGATAATGGCTATTTTGTTCCAAGTATTAGTGTAGTCCTCATTAAAACCGGGAGGTTGGGCATCACTTACAAACCAATGCCAACGTCCACATCTCGCGCATAATCCGGCTGCACGCGGTAGGATTTCTCTCCCTAAGCTGCGGCCTCAACTGATACTCCATAACGTAGAAGCCGCGGAAGATGGTGGTTGCGGTGATTAGGGCAAATGCCACCTGATGGAAAACTGGGTTTTTCGCATAAAGATAATAAACCTAAACATCTAGGTCAGCTCCGTTTCCCCCCAAGAGATATCATGATTTACTTACAGTGATGAAGATACCAAGCCCAACCATGATCGAGGCAATCAGTAATTGGGTCCTGGGGGATCTCTTGTAGGAGAATGTGGCATAACACATGATAAAGACGGTATAAATCATGGGTAGCTCATCGGCGAGTTGCATCTCATCTTAGATTGTTTGTTAGCATATTTACAATAACACCATGACAAAACAATAGCTCACTTACACTTAAGAGTTGCATGGAACGCCATGGAGCCGAGGCCAACCACCAGGTAGCCAACATAGGCAAGGATGAAAATGGGCGAATGCTTAAACTCAAGGACATTGCGTAACCCCTTGACTCCAAGCCACATAAACATTAAGTTGGTCAATGTGTTGACCAGCTCGGCGCAATAGTATGTGATGTTGTAATCCTATGTCAGATTCATGGTGAGTCTCGCGGGTCAAAGCGGGCTGTAACTGGTGTGATTTAGGTACCTCTTCACACCAGTTCAAGGTTGATGTTTGCTCTCCCCAGAAGCCATCACGGCCTTCCCGATAAGGAATCTGAAGTATCGACATTCTGACTTGTGGCTTAACAAATAGCGTGGCTCTCGCCGCAAATAAGACGCACAGCTAACACCCCGAACCCTGGAATGGCGCCAAGCCCGACCAAAAAGGTGGTCTGGGTGGCTGGATTGGAAACCGTAAAGTGAACTGAAGCTTGCAGATGGGTATTGTGGCAGTGAAGAATCGTTGCTGTAGTCGAAACAAATCTGCCAGTAAGTGTACCAGATGTCCGTGTTATTCGTCGGTCGTATAAGCCACGCCCCTAAATCTACAAGGCAATGTGTGATGTAGCACGGAGAGGGCCTCTGATGTCCTGGTATGGCGGATCGCAGCGAAACAGTAAAAAGTTGAAATCTTGGGCAACTAAATGCAAGATGTGATCGATCAAGCAAGAGAAAACCGGCTTGGCTTCGGTGAAATTGAAAACCAAGAAAGGCCGGATATCTCGGAACAGTACGAAAATCGACGAAAACAGAAAGTAGCGCAGAACCATGCACGCCAGGAACGGGTTGTTCTTTGCTCACAACAGGTCAAACATCAAAATTGCAACTGGAACTACGAGTATATGTAAAAATCTGGGGGAAGGATGCTGCCCTGGGACAGGAACAAAAGGTCCGTGGACCTCCAAATAGGAAGCGCCCTACATTCGAGACCATTGCTCGAAATCTGAGACCTTTGGTGATCGGGATCCACCAAAAATGTCGACGTTGGGCAGTTCACACAACTCAACAACCGAGCGTTAAAGTTGATTTACCAAAGAGGAGTTTAGACGAGGATCCATGCGGGATCAGTGTCCGGCCTGGCGCAACATTGTCACCAAATGCTCGACCAAACTAGAAAAGCAGCAAGATTTTGCTTGCATGGTAGAGGTACGTAAGCGTAGATGCTGGAAACGATAAATATGCCACTAGACGCCTCGACTCGTACGTGACGGATATATACCATATCCAGCATTTTCGAGAGAACAACCGGCAGACACTCTCAGAGTCTTTGGCGACCCGAAGTGATCATTGTATCTTGATCGCCGACTGATATGGCAAAACCGAAACAAAAACATGAGCAGAGAAGACACCGGCAGGATGGTTCCTGTCACATGTGCCTGGCTCGAGCCTGGAAAAGACGGAACCTGTAAACGCGGGTCCACAAACCCCCGGCAACGGCCCCGCTCGGCCCGGATCCGAGCGGATGGCTCGTGCATGCACAGCCGAACTTGTACTGCCAGTGTACAGCGAGCAGATACAGCATGCCACAGTGGCTTTAGTGGGGGTGGCACCTGCTAGGTAGAGGTACCGTAGAGGTAACCCCAGGAATCAAACTGCACCCGGGCCATCAGCTGGAGACAGACTGTCTGTCCACTTGTCACCTTTCCATGATCCCCTAGCCGTCTCTACAATACCTCGGGCCACGAGCCGAAAGTGGATATTTGTTAACACTTACAAAGCCAAGTCGATGAAGAGGTAACCAGGGGCGACTACCTTGAAGAAAGCCGGGGCGCGTTGGGATGTCAAGAACTCGGCGCATCCTCCGAAGCAGGCAACATCACCCTCGAGATTCTGACGAGGCGGCCGTCGACGGACCTTTGCGGATACACAGACCATCGAGCCTAACACAACGACAAACGTGTCGAGGGATTCCGGCATCAGTCCTTCACCAATTCAACAATCCCTGACGACGGCCACTGCGACGACGGATCCATGTGACAGCCGGTTAACCACCCGTACCTGACCAACTCCAAACACGATTCCCGGCCTTGACCTGCCATCATTGGATGGCCACACCATCACATGGCAGCACCCGCTAAACAAGCCTCGTCAAGATGGGGCTCCTTCTTATCCCAGGCCGTCGCCGGAGTCGAGGCCAAACTAGACACCATTCTCGCCGATGACTATGATGATGCCGCCCAGCAGAACAAGGAGTCCAAACCAGCAGCCACTCCTCCGCCGGCACCATCACCGGCAAAGGCCAGCCCAAGTAGGATGCTTCCATTCGAACCCAAACTTGTACATCCGTCCAGGACATATGGCTGACACTCTTTGCTACTTATAGCACCATCGAGAACAGCCTCGACACGTACCAATGATCGTCTACAAGAGCGGTTGGCCAGGGCCGTGGCCGCCAAGGCTGCCGGCAAGAACCTCGATCGAACGTCATCCTCGACACAAGCGAGCCCACGCCAGAGCATGGATGCCCCAAGTCGTGCCTCGACCGACAGCATCGAAAGACCAAATTTCGCTGCTAAGGACAGTCCGAATGCCGTTTCTTCGCCGCGCGCATCCGTAGACACGCCCAGGAAATCGCAGGATACAACACAGGAGCCGCCAGTGGCACCACTGGACTCAGCGGACGGCATCAAGGAGGTGGAAGCACAGTTAGTTTCTGAGAAAGCCGATAGTGTGAGGCCTTCGACGGATCAGCCACGTCCAGAGAACACTGAGGATGAAGCCCCGACGACTGAAAGCAAATTGGAAGCACCGGCGGAGATACTCGCCAAGACCGAACCCAAGAAGAGCGTTGAGGTCATTGAGAGGGCACGTCCAGATGGCCAGGAAACGAAATCGGACGATACGCGACCGCAAAACCAGGACGAAATCCACGCCTACGTAGAGCGAATCGATGCTTTGGAGGCCAAGCTCCAGTACCTTGCAAGGGAGGCATCCGCAGCGGCGCGCAAGGAGGTTTTATCTGCACCCGCTGGCAGTGCTGAAAAGAAGCTTGCAGAGAAGGATCAACAAATAGCCCAGCTGATGGAAGAAGGAAAGAATCTTGCTAGTAACGAACAAAAGCTGCGGACGATCTTGAAGAACTTGCGAAAGAAACAAGCCGAAGATGAAAAAGAGATGGGGAATCTTAAAGCGGCCAAGGAAAAGGCCGACAGGGAAATAGAGAACTTGCGCAAGCGTGCTCGACACTCAGACGAACTCGAAAAGAACCAGAATGAGCTCCAAAAACGGTTGGACCAGTCACAACGGGAGCTAAACTACTTGCGACCGGAAGTCAAGTCCAAGGATACTATCATCGCTGAACTACGATCACAAATCCAAAAGGCTACTGAACAGGCCGATGTCATGTCAGCAAAGGCCAACGACAAGGCAAGAGAACAGGATCAGCGGCGGATAGCAGAATTGGAAGAATCCGTGGAAGCTCTCAAGATCGAGAAGAACCTGATGGCCGACCGCGCCAAGGCGCAAGCTGATGAACTTCGAAAAGAGGCTGAAAAAGCAAGCGAAAAGGCAAAGGCTTTGGAGTTAGAGCTAAAGGCCGAAGTCCATATGATGGAAAGTAAGCTGGAAGCTATGCGGACCCGCGCTGAAGAAGCTTCCTCGGGCGTAACGGGAGACTCCCAAGCCAAGTTGCTTAGACAGGTGGAAACCCTGCAAAGTCAATACTCGATTGCAAGCGAGAACTGGCAAGGGATCGAGACCACTTTGCGGTCGAGAATAGTTAATCTCGAGAAGGAGCGTGATGAAGCATTGCAGCGGGAGTCTGACATGCGCAGAAAGGCTCGTGAAGCTGTAAGTACATTTCGAAGTCATATGCCTTTGCAAATCAGAATACTGATAATCTCTAGGCCCTCCGAGCGAGACGCAATGAGGAAGAGCTGGAAGAAGCCAAAACCAAACTTCCCAACCAGGAAGACGTTGAGTCCTACCGCTCACAACTCGACTCTCTCAAGAAGCGCGCAGAAGAAGCCGAAGCCGCCCTGGCAGAGGCGCGAGCCGATTTTGAGAAGCAGAAGCAGGCATGGGAGGCTGAGAAGGAAACAATCAAAGAGGAAAGGGAAAGGGATCTCCAATCACAAGGAAACCGGCCACGATCCTGGTTAGAAGGTCTCCCGGGCGGCCCATTCCTGAAGAACGAGGGTAGCGGGCCTGGATCACCCCAACTATCAACAGCGCAAAGGACCTACAGCACTGATTTCCTAGGCATCCAAGGCCTTTCCAACAAGGTCCGCAAGGCATCAGCCCCATCAAGTAACGGTGATGCGGCAACGGGAGCAAACGTAAGCCGTCGACCCTCCGGCCAACCCGGCCTGATCCGCACATCAGTTGCCTCTGGCAGCACCCAACCAGGAAGCAACTCCCTCTTCAGTCCCACTACAGAATCCATGCCTCCAGTCATACCCTTATCCGCGATTCACCCAACATCAGACGCAGGTGGCGCACCCGAAATCCAGCACCCACGCGCTGGGCTCCATCGTTCCGACACGGGCTTCGACAGCGTCGACTCCTCCTCCTCTCCGCACAACGTATTGCAGGACATGGTCTCCGTGTCCACGATCGCCGCCGGGCCCTCAGTCCAGCTCGTGGAGCGCATGAGCGCCAAGATCCGCCAGCTTGAGAGCGAGAAGGTGACGGTGCGCGAAGAGCTGGCACGCATCTCCAAGCAGCGGGACGAGGCACGGGCGGAGATTGTGGCGCTCATGGGCGAAATGGAGAATCAGAAGAAGGCGGCTGAGAGGGTTGCTGAACTGGAGCGGCAGGTGGCGGAGGTGAATGAGCGGTATGAGACGACGCTGGAGCTGTTGGGCGAGAAGAGCGAGGAGGTGGATGAGTTGAAGGCGGATGTGCAGGATTTGAAGGATATGTATAGGGATTTGGTGGAGAGGACTATGAAATGAGGTTGTAAGTGATGAGTGATAGGGGACGGACTGGGTGGTGATTCTTGCATACATAATAAACTATTCAAGATGGTTGATAATGAAAATGAGCTGATGTATAGGTACGAAGCGTAGTGGAGTCCAATGGAAATGTGAATAAGGATGTTTCAAATATTTTGGATCTTGATGTCCATAGATATTGGGTTAGCTCAAGGTATCACAACTTTGTGTAAACCACTTCCTCATATGCCTTTCCCTTTCTTCGGAGCAACTCAAGTCAACGCTCATTCTCCTCGTCATGTCATCTTCGCCACACCTACCCCCAACCTGCACCTACAAACGAGGTAACCTAAAGTTCAATCCCCTCCTTCTCTGCCTCTTTCTCAATAAACCTCCTCACGTCCTTATCCGGCGCCAGATCCAACGCCAGATACCCATCCATATCTTTCTTGTCCGTCTCCGCTCCGGCCTTCAACAACGCAACAGCCGCATGCCCATGTCCCTCGGCCACTGCATGATGCAGCGGCGTATACCCCGCGTTGTCGCTGGCGTTGATCGGCGACTTGTGTTGCAACAAAAGATTGATCATTGGCACCGACCCAATAGCCGCGGCGCGGTGCAAGGGGTATTGCCCCCGTTTGTCCTTGACCCGGACCGAGGCAGGCTTGGGTTTCATGTCTGGAGACAAAAGCTTGCGCGCGAGGTCGATGTTGTTTTTGGAGGCGATGAAGTGTAGGGCGGTTTGCGATTGGTGGTTGGTTTGGTTGATGTCGGCGCCGCGGGCGAGGAGGAGGTCGATTATGGCGTCGGAGTCTTTGACTGAGGCGGAGATCATGAAGGGGGTCCAGCCCATGTCGTCCTGGTTGTGTGGTGTAAGTTGTAAGTGCTAGGTGAACAGAGGGAGGGGAAAGGGAAAAAAAAAATTGAGAGTTCCTACTTCAACATCGGGATCAAAGCCCTTTTGGTTCACGAGTAGCTCAACGACTTCCTTGCGGTTGTAGGAACAGGCCCAGTGGATGGGGAGACGGCCATCGTCGTCCTTGCGTTGAGCGAGCTTGGGGTTGGCCTGGTTGTGTGTTTAGTCATTTTGCAAGTATATGGATTTGTGGAACGACATCCCACTCACGTTGAGCAGAGACTCGACGACGGACACTGAGATCGTGGAAATGTCAGTACTCAGTCATTTCGTGGATGGTTCAACGAGTGTCCTCAACTGCTCAGCTTAATGTGTTCTGGAGCTTTCTATGCTCACCTTTACCCTCCCGGGCGGCAGCGTGAATCGCAAACTTGTCTTCTGCCATATTGATCAAGCAGATGAATTATGTAATAGTAGTATAGGACTCAAAGCCAACCAGAAAGTCGATTGAATCGAGTTCCTAAGAGTTGTTTGGTTTGGTGATGATGTTGTTGCATGAGTTGAACGTCATGTAAGTGATGCCTTCCCCCGGGAGCTTCCATGAGGTGAGAGTCCGAAAGAGGCACACCGTGTGAGCTCAACTGTGTTTGCCAAGACGCTAAATGTGCTAAAAGATGTGGCCCAAGCTCCCCCAAACCAGGACGTCAGCAAAAATTCCCAGCCGCGTCCAGGCCGCGCCGGTGGCGCTCGTCGGTGCCCGGCACACTGTATCACTTTCATCACTGTATCTTCAACTTTGACATCAAGTCAACAACCACGCCCCGAATTCGGATTTCATCACAACAACCAACTTGTAACTCCCTCCGGCCATTTTGATTAAATTCGCACAAAGAACCCAAACGACGAAACAACCCTATTCGACCTCATTCCCTTAAAATGGCGGCCGAGGTTGCCAACAGCGCCGCCAATGGCTCTGGCCCTGACGCCAACCCGCTCTCGACCATGATCCGCGAGAACGCTAGAAAAACGAAACTCATCTACGCCGCCACAGCCACAACTACAGATGCCTCTGGCACCTCCGGGAGAAAGCGTCTAAAACTCGACCCTGGGCTTGCGTCAGAAGATCCCGACATCACCAAGACCGGCCTATCTCTCCGTCTCCACGCCGAGTACAGCGACGTCCAGACCCTCCCCGAAGCCATTGCCTCCAAGTTGCCAGCCGGTGGACCACGCAAAAAGAAGGCCAAGCCAGCCATCGAAGAGGCTCCCTCAAAATCCGAAGAACATGCCCGCAAACTCATCGAGGGTATCCCACCGAGCAAGTCCGCCGCCGCCAACTCGAATGCTCTGGTCCTCTCGCGCAGCAAGCCCGGCGCTGGCGCGTCGTCAACCAGACCAAATGCGCAACGAAACGAGCCCCAAACAAACAGCCTGGCGCGGCGATCCGACGTGCTGGTACAGCCCAGGCCAGATTGGCACCCGCCTTGGAAGCTTCTCAAGGTGCTTTCGGGCCATCTGGGATGGGTGCGTGCCTTGGCAGTAGAACCGGACAACAAGTGGTTTGCCTCGGGCGCAGGCGACCGCACCATCAAGATTTGGGATTTGGCGTCAGGAGCCTTGAAGTTGACTCTTACCGGACACATCTCGACGGTTCGCGGATTGGCCGTGTCACCGAGACACCCATACCTGTTCTCGTGCGGTGAGGATAAGATGGTCAAGTGCTGGGATTTGGAGACGAACAAAGTTATCCGACATTACCACGGCCATCTCAGCGGTGTTTATACCCTTGCGCTGCATCCTACACTGGATGTTTTGGTAACAGGTGGTCGCGACGGTGTCGCGCGTGTGTGGGATATGCGGACAAGAAGCAACATCCACGTCCTCTCTGGACACACAGGCACAGTAGCGGATCTTGTCTGTCAGGAGGCCGACCCTCAGGTTATCACAGCCAGCTTGGACTCGACCGTTCGTATGTGGGATCTGGCAGCCGGCAAGACGATGGGCGTCTTGACACATCACAAGAAGGGTGTGCGAGCGTTGACGACTCATCCAACCGAGTTTACGTTCGCAACGGGTAGCACAGGCAGCATCAAGCAGTGGAAGTGTCCCGAGGGTGCTTTTATGCAGAACTTTGAGGGGCACAATGCCATCATCAACACGTTATCCGTGAACGACCAAAACGTCATGTTCTCTGGTGGCGACAATGGTTCCATGAGCTTCTGGGATTGGAAGTCGGGCCATCGCTTCCAAGCTCTTGATACGATTGCTCAGCCTGGTTCACTTGATGCTGAGTCGGGTATCATGAGCTCGACCTTTGACAAGTCTGGCGCCCGCTTGATTTGTGGTGAAGCGGACAAGACCAGTGAGTTTACCCTGCCATGACAGTAGTCTTGAGGATATTGGTACTAACTCGATGACTAGTCAAAATCTGGGGTGAAGACCTTAGCGCAACACCAGAGTCGCATCCTCTCGAGTGGAAGCCAACATTGGCTAAGCGGAAGTTTTAAGCATCGTGAACGGCGAGAACTGAGAATGTCATACCTCTTCATTTGAATGCAGGTCAAAGACGAGCAGGCGAAAAAGGGATATAATGGATAGACGACAAACCTGGGATAGCGCGTTAATCAACCAAATGGACTTTGACACTCAGAGTAATGAGCATTAGACCGATAATCTTTGTCCATGTTTTAACTATAGGGTATCATTACTATCATTCAAAGAAGCACACCCAGTGCTTTGATTTCCGGATCATCACGGAAAGCCAACCTAACGTCCTCATCTCCAACAGCCAGCCGGATCTTGCTCGGTCGCTCGGCCTTGTGAGCTTCCAAGTTGATGACACCCGCTCCTGTCAGGTCAACCGCTGCGATGGCGAGTCCGCCCGGCCGCATCTGCCTGACATCGGGTTTGGATCTAGCCCCACCCATGATACCATCCCCATAGTCTGTCACGCTTACTCCAGCCGTGGCCATCAAAGCATTCAATGGCCGACTATCGCCTCCGGTCGCCAGCTTAATCATCCGTTGCATCTCCTCCAGCACATCTCCAAACGTGCTCTCCGCCAACCCTGTCCGCTGAGTACGCAACAGCAGCGCCGTAAGCAATAACCTTGACGCAAAGGGGAGGCCCCTCAGGTACTGCTGCAGCGGATTACTCGTAGCCTCGTTAATGGCCCTCCGCACCGTCTCAATCGTGACCCTACCGGCCGACCCCTTCTTCTTACTGACCACTTTATCTTCAACACCCTTCTTTTTGCTTGGCGTTGGCGGTTCAGCCTCAGCAACAACCTTCGCGTCCGCCTCCGCCAACTCCACCGCCCGTCGACAAATATCCAGCGCCCGTCTCGCATCACCACTCACAGCCGCCACCTTGCGCGCCGCAAACTGCACCGCGTCCGCATCCACAATATCCCCCGGCACGCCCTCCAACCGGCTTTGCACGATCCGCATCAGCTGCTCATGATTATACCCAGGAAACGTAATCCGCGTCAGCCCCAACCGACTGCTGATCTTGTTACTCAGCGTGCGCTCAGGCAAGTCCATCGTGTTGGCCACGGCCAGCACAATCAGCCGACTGTGTCTCAACCCGGGCCAGTTGAAGAAGTTGTACATCACCCCCTGGTTCTTGGTCACCAGCTGGTCCAGCTCGTCCATCAGCACCACGCACGGCACGCGGCGCGGGGACGGGTGGCTGAATTCGCGCTCTAGCAGGTCCAACGCTTGTGAGGGGCTGACGCGCTGGCCCTTGAGTGCTTCCCAAAGTAAAGAATAGGATTGGTGCGGGTCGGTAATCTTCATGCCGTTGATTTCGACAAAGATGAAGTCATCCAGCTCGTCGGCGCGCACGGCTGCGTCCAGGTGCGAGACGACTTCGCGCACCGTGGCGGTTTTGCCCGTGCCCGGCGTGCCGGAGATGTAGATGCAGGTGCCGCTCCCGTCAGTGATGGCCGCTTCGAGGTGCGAGTACACGAGCGAGAACTCGGCTTCGCGGCAGGGGAGGGAGGTTGGGACCGAGGCAACGTGCAGTTGGGTGCGGGCGAGTTGGTAGGGGGAGTTGTGGATGTGCATGGGGGAGAGCACGCGGGTGGCCAAGGGTGTGAATTCGAGGTGCCTCTTTATCATGATCTTGCGGTGGGAGGTGGGCGTTACGGCGGCGCTGAGAGCGGCTTTGGTGCCTTTGCGTCGGCTGGTTGGGGTGGCGGCATTGCTGCGGACTTTGAGTTTTCGAGGGGTGCGAGGGACTTTAGCGGCGGGTTCGGCGTCAGCGTCGTCGTCGGAGGCGTATTCTCGTTCGGGAGATTCGGCTTTGGGTTGTCGTTTCCTCCGTGTGGCTTTGGTGCGCTTGAGGACGAAGTCGAGGAGGGATTCGAGATCTTCCTTGCCCTTGTAGATATCTTCCCATTTGAATTCGTCGGTGTAGGTACACGTTCGTGTGTTGCAGCCTCGACGGCAGATGAAGACCTTGCCGAACTCTTTCGATTTTCGAGGGACTTTGCCGGTTGGGTACTGTTTCATAAAGGCTTCTTGGGACATGACTATGGCCTTGCCATTGATAGTGGTCAGGGCGTTGAAGTCGAAGCTCGGTGTTATATACAGCTCGTTCTGCACTTCGAAGTTAGCAATTTCAACCAGAGACTGTTGAGATGAAGATTATGATGACATACCTCAACAAAATCCGTTCTCTTCTTCGGACCATTCCGAATCTCCTTCTCCGAAGAAAACCACATGAACTTGGCTGACTTTTCGCCATCATCCACCAAAAACTCCGAGACAATGCCAACCCAGGCTTCGTTAGAGCCTTCAGCTTTGAGAAGCAGAGTGTCTCCCACGTAGCAGTCAAAGTCCCCCATTTGTGCACCGATAATCTTGCGCTCTGGCTGCGTTGTTCGTTTCCGTTTCCTCGATCCCGGTCCGCTTGCTGGTATAACCTCGTTTTCTCCTTCATCCTCTTCCCTGTCATAAATCCATTCCCACGGCAAATCATCTGTCCCAAGCTCATCATCCGAATCTTCTCTGGTTACGCCTGGGAGACGAAACTCTTGCGCTCGAGACGACCGCCGTCCGGGGGTGGCAGGCATGGCGGCCAGCTGTTGAAGAGGCCAGTGGTAGAAATTGATTATCAATTTAGTCGGTCGGTCGGAAATCAAAACAAACAGTTCATCAACATAGCTTGGCAATTCCGGTACTGAATGCTGCCTCGCTGAGATAAAAGAGTTCGTTCGAAGTTGAAGAAGGGAATAGATGACAGGCAGGCAAGACGCGTCTTGGAAGCTTTAGCGCGTCCAGGGCACTTAACATCCCTGCAGGATCCGCTAACTCCCGCTTGAGCTCTGTTGACGGAGCTGTCGGATACTGGAGGTAACCGGGGTGCCAGCCCAGTACCTTACGTAAGCTAGCATCCCTGGCAACCTTCTGATACTAGATTTTCTGTGTGAGGGATTAACCTAATATAGAGATCTATACAATATACAGTCTGTACCCTCTACTCAATCAATACCCCTGCTTGTCCTCGTATTCTATAATTAAGAGTTTTATATACGATAATTACCGGTTGAAATAACCTAAGTAAATATAGTATAATAATTATTTACTAAAGTAAATAAAGTAATGTAATATAATAATATTTATCGATTTTAAGACTATTAGCGAGGTTATCCTTAATAAATTTGAAGATTAGTATCTTTAGGAAAAGGGATTTAAAGATAAGGCTTTTAATAAGGAGTTTTAGTCTTTTATTAACCTAAATCTCGAAAAGCGAATCCTCTAGCCCGCTACTCCTATTAAACTATTAATTATTAACTTTTAAGAACCCCTTAAGGATATCTAAATTTAATAATAGATCTTTAATATTATAGAAGTAGATAATAATTCTTTAATAGTTAATACCCGGCTATTATAAACTATCCGGTCGATTATAGTCCTAGTTCGGACCCTAATATTTATTTAAACTCCTATTAGTCCGCCCGTAAAAGTTTCCTTTATTATTAAACGCCTAAGCTTTATATTTAAATTCGACTTTTGTAATTATAAAGTTGCTCTAACCGATTATTGCTACGAGAAGAAAGATTAGAATAAATTTATTATTAATATTAATAATATTTAAGATTAAATAAAAAAGTATACTATTAAGAAGCTTTATTTAATTTACTTCTTAAAAACTAAAATTATTACTATTTAGTATAATAAATTATATACTTCAATTAATTATAATTTAATAAGAGTTAGAAATAACGTTTGTACTAAATGTTAGGAGAAGGTTTGCTTTATTTATACTTTAAAGAGTTGGACTATTTAGTTTGAAGAGTAGGAGGGGGTTATAACTATTAATTAATACTATAATATCGATAAGTATATTAATTTAGAGAATTAGTATTAAAACTTCCTCTATATAGTAAGTAAATTCCCTAGGTCCCTACTTACTATTTAGATTATAGTATATTATTAAATTAAAGATAATAAATTTTATACTTTTATAAATATAGCCCGGGAATTTAAATAGACGGTTCTTAAAGTATTTCTATTAAATAAGGGTCGCTCTTAAATTTATAAAGGTAGTACGTTCGGGGCGGTAATTATATATACTAAATTTAGTAAGGACGTTCTTAATAACCCCCGGAATAATAGAAGTAAAAGGCCGGCTAGTAATTATTAAAATTATTAAGATTGTAATAAACGGTCGAAGAGGGCTTGCCCTATATATGAACGTATAGGTTACAAATTTGAATACTACTAGTATATTAATATAGCAAACTAATTGAATAATTTTAAAAAAAACTATTATATATATAAGCGGGTTAATAAGAATTATTAAAAAGACCCTAAGCTAGTAAAAAAGATTAGAGAGTTCTTAAAAAATATAAAAATTAACGAATCTTACTAAAATAATATTAGTAATTTCTAATTTAATGGCCGGCGGGTTGGTAATATACGTTGTAAAGCGAGTTTTTTAGTACTAAAATCCTATAAAAATGGACTAAAGTACCTACTAAAGGACTTAGTAATTTTTAATTTAGGTATAATTATAAGGGGGACAGTAGAGTATTATATAGATACTGCGCTTAAGTAATCGATAAGGTTCTATAAAGAGGAAAGGGAGAAAGGTCTATAAGTGGAGCTTGCGGCAGTAGCCTTTTAAGGGGGCTATAGCTATATAATTAACGTTATAGTAGAATAGCGCTATTGTAAGTTATAGAATAAACTATAGTAGTAGTCGGGCTATAGAGCCCGATATAAATCTTTAGGGCGGTAGTTTTATAATATTAGCCTCCTCCTCCTAGTACCGGCCTTTAGTGTAAGCGCTAACGTTATATTATATATAAATAATTGTATATTTTTTATTTCTATACAATTCCTCCCGCCCGGTAGTTGTCTTTACCTATTTTAGTATTAGTGTAACCTTTTTATATGCCCGGCCTTCCTCTAACTTTTGTACTTTTCCTTCTACTTTGTACTTTTCTTTTTCTTTTAATTCCCTTCTATTCTTCCTTCCTCCTTTCCCTTCTCCTTCT